CCTCCGCCACCTCCACCACCTCCGCTCCCACCGCCACCGCCGCCGCCGCCTCCGCCTCCACTGCTGCCGCCGACACCTCCACCCCCGCCACCACTCCCACCACCACCCCCACCCCCTCCACCGCCTCCGCCTCCACCGCCTCCACCGCCCCCTCCAGCTCCTCCAGTGCCCCTGCCCCCCTTGCCATTGCCAGAGCGACGCTTCCCACTAGGGGTAGACGCCGTACGGACCGACTCCAGACCAACGAGGTCGGCCGCAGCAGCTGAGGCAACAGAGGGCAAGAGAGGGGAGGGGGAACACCCCTCAAAGATGGGGGTGCGCGGGTCACCACGAGAGGCCCCTACAGCGACTATGCTCTTCTCCGCTGCTAGGAGGGCCTTCTCGAGGAGGTCAATAGTGAGAGTGGTGGGACAGACTGAGAGAAAGTGGTCCCTGACTACGCGAAGGGAGTCAGGGAGACGGGTGACTATGTAGTAGAGAGTGATGTACATGGGGGGGGGGGGTTCTTGGCGCAGAAGTCAGCAGGAAGCGCAGCGCGGTAGATAGTGTCACTAGTGCGGAGGGGCGTAATGAGGTCAGCGACTGTGGGAAAGGCAGCAAGGTCAGGGAAGAGGTATGGTAGCATGAGGCGGCTCAGTGCAGCAGTGGCAGGGGAGGAGTAGCGTGCAACTACAGCGTCGTACAAGGTCTGAGCACTCTTATACTGGCTAAAGTGCGCACGCTCAGAGGTAGGAAGGTGGCGATGCACAGCAAGACGTGCAGCAGCATCGCGGGTGGCCCACTGTGAGCGAACAGTAGCGTCATCATCAGCAGCAGGGGCAGGAGAGGCACCGGAGGTGAGGTCAAAGAGGGAGAGTCCGTCTGCCCTATCGCACTGAAAGAAAAGCTGCAGGTCATATATCGAGACGTCAAAATCAATGACCCGACCCTCAGCGTCAAAAGCGAGGACACTAGGGGTAGCCATGACAGTAGTAGACCAGCAGCGCAAACAGTAGGGTGAGGGCAGTGCTGAGAATGAGGCGCTGCTCTTACCAGACAGGGCGGCTCGGGCGACTTGGCGGCGCGGGCGGCTCGTCTGTTGGGCGGCTCGGCTGCTGGGTGGCTCGGCTGCTGGGCGGCTCGGCTGCTAGGCGGCTCGGCTGCTGGGCGATTCGGCTGCAGGGCGGCGCGGCGGTCGGCTGCTCGGCTGGGTATGGCGGCTGGGGCAGCTCGGTTGGCGGGCGGCGCTGCAGCAGGCGATGGGGCCGCAGGTAAGGGCGGCGGGGCCGCAGGTAAGGTAGCGGGGTCGCAGGTAAGGGCAGCGAGGCCGCAGGTATGGCGGCGGGGCCGCAGGTAAGGCGGCAGGGCCGCAGGTAAGGTGGCGGGGCCGCAGGTGAAGGGCGGCGGGGCCGCAGGTAAGGTCGCGGGGCCGCAGCAGCAGGCGAGGGGGCCGCAGGTAAGGTGGCGAGGCCGCAGGTAAGGTGGCGGGGCCGCAGCATCAGGCGACGGGGTCGCAGGTAAGGTGGCGGGGCCGAAGGTAAGGTGGCGGTGCCGCAGGTAAAGGGCGGCGAGGCCGCAGGTAAGGTGGCGGGGCCGCAGCAGCAGGCGACGGGGCCGCAGGTAAGGTGGCGGGGCCGCAGGTAAGGTGGCGGGGCCGCAGGTAAGGGGCGGCGGGGCCGCAGGTAAGGTGGAGGGGTCGTTGCGAAGGGCGGCGGGGCCGCAGGTAAGGTGGCGGGGCCGCAGCGAAGGGGCGGCGGGGCGGCAGGTAAGGTGGCGGGGCCGCAGCGAAGGGGCGGCGGGGCCGCAGGTAAGGTGGCGGGGCCACAGGTGAGGGCGGCGCAAGGGCGGCGACGGGCCGCTTAGGGTGGCGACGGGCCGAGAGAGGCCTAGGACGGGCGCGACGGTAGAGAGAGCACACGAGGCGCGACTCGGGCCTAAGCGAAGCGCGCTCCGGGCAGGAATTTTTTTTTCGACTTGGTGGGCCCTAGGAACAGTTCCCACGAGGGAACCTGCTCGATACCATGAGAAGAAACGAGAATGAATGAACTATGAATGAGTTGGGTACAAGTACTAACCCTAATTGGGTTGTACCCCTTATGGGCTACCCCACTATAGCCTACACAACATGCATGAGCTATAATGTTCTGACATGGCGCAGCCCGTACGGGTCGCGCGCAGGCTGTACGGGCCGCACACAGGCCACGACAGGCGACGGTGGGCGACGCGCGGGTCCCCTTTGCCCGTCGCAGCGCCTCACGGGAGCGACGCGCTGCGTGACGGGGCAGAAAACCGCCGCACGCTCCGAGCGCGTGGCGTGATGAAAAATCTGTTGCATGCCACGGGGCGTGCAACACAGAGAGTAGCAGTAGCAGCGGAAGCACTGAGGTGGGGCCCACAGGCCAGGAGCATATCGTTCTGATACCATGTGAAGATAAGCAGTAGAAGAAGGCGCCATAGCTAGGAAAGCCCTAGCTAGGCAAGAAACAGTTTAGGCAAACAGGAGGTTCACTAGCAGGAATGAGGATACAAATAGCAAACCCTAGAAGGGTTGTACTTGCTATAGAGCACCCCACTACAGGCTAGAGCATAACATTCTGACACGGCGAACCCACCCCACAGAGCAGCTGAAGGTGTCGGGAAGGTCCATGCGAGTGGATGTTGCCACATTTGTGCGTGTAATATAACTTCGCGGAGTGAATGTTTCCAGAATCGTGTCTGTTACTTGTCCGAGTTTACCACCACCACTGAGGGTGACGTATGCATACTGTGTTAACGTTGTTGTGTTTAAATCTAACCGTGGCAACGTACACGTGGCAAACCTGGGCCGAGGGTCGTGCATTTGGTGCACGAAGAGCCGGAACGACGCGGCGGAGAGTCATGCGCAAAAATGTGCGCGACGCCAAAAACTTTTCCGCCACATTTTTTCACGAACCTTGACCATAGCCTTGAAAAAGAGATGCCCACGGGCAACATCTGTTGTTAGTAAGCACAGGTGTATGTTTTCTCAACTGGCCACCCACCCACAATCTGCACGGTGCGCATATAAGCTGGGTGCAACTGGCCGGTAAAAAAAACACGTGGGCAGAGTTTTAAAAATGAGAAGGTAGAATTCGCGCACAGGGGCTGAGCATCGTGTGTACCTCTCGTGTGAATGTCGTCCATCCTTGCAGAACGAGATGTCTGGGGAATATTGTTCGCGCCCCTGGAACCGTAGCAGCCCATACACAAAAGTACCAAAACACACAAAACCATGCTAAAACCTTTTATATCTGCACATACGTCAGCTTCCGCTGCCAGATCGGCGCTTCTCAGCTCCGTGGCATTGCTCACTCATGCCATTTGCGGTCGCGGCAGCCCTCCCTTCCATTTCCGCCGCGGCGGCGCGGACAGGTTGGCTGCTTCTGCAATCAATCTGTCCTGTCCCTGCGCACGTGATGTTTCTGCCCAAGGTTCGAGGGGAGAAGCATGTCTCCCTCCCTCTTCATCGCTTTTCACCTCTCTTCGCCTCTCTTCTTCCCTTCCCGCCCTTCTTAGCCTTCCTTAGCCACTCTTAGCCCATCCCCATCAACGTCCCTCATCTGCTTTTCTATACCTCCCTCCCTCTCTCTCACCTTCCCTCAATCTCGCCCTCCCAGTTTTCCCTACTTCTCAACTCAACAACCCCCTCCCAAATCGGCGGGGACTGTGCGTGTCTCGAGGAAACAGAAGACGGTTTAGTTTTACGCTGTGAAATAAGAATACGCTGACACTGGAGCATCTACAACCAACAAGCAGCGTGCTGACTTGGCTTGACATTATATCCCCTCCGCGTAAGACGCGTGGAGTTGCAGCACCAGCTAAAAGACATGCCCCAATCGGAGGTCGCGTGCGCGACGAGGCCGCCAGTTTTAGCCACGAGAGAATCGATTTCTTATGTTAGTAGCAACAGCTCTCACTCAGTCGTTAACGCGGATGCGCCGTTGCTGCCTCAATCGCTCTCTCCGCGGGGTCACGCGGGCACGCACTCGCGCCTCCCCTCGTGGGGAATGGAGGTGCGCGAAAACGCGGTTAGCTTGCGCGGACACGCGGAGGGCTTGCGCGGACACGCTTCTAACGATTCGCCGCAGCCTAGCGGACACGATAGTGCAAGCTTCGATAGCAGGAGCAGCACTAACAGAGATAGGGCTTCTAGCAGCATCACAGGCAATAGCGCTGGCCAATCACGCGCGTCTGATTCAACCACTCGCGCCTCCGACGCTTCCTCACGCGCAACCGAAGCTTCCTCCTCGCGCTCCCCGTCGGCGCTAGCCCAGCGTCGAGCTAGACCGCCGCGACTCCAGCTCCCCGCGCCTCCCGGCAGCAGCGCAGTCAGCGCAAGCGGGGGCGCCAGCGGCAGCGGGAGCGCCAGCGGCCGTGGAAACGTCAATGGCGGTGGGAACGGCAGCGGAAGCCGCATCTCCTTCTCCTGCGCGCCGGCATCTGCGCGGTTATCCCCCGCGGGCCCGTGCGCTGCCTCCCCCCGCTCCGCCGTTCCCTGGTCCCCGACGAGCTCCCCGTGTTCCGCACCCCCGACTCTTTCCCGCCCCGCGCGCTCCGCCGCCGCTTCCGCCTTCCCCTGCTCCCCCGCAAAACCCGCCGTCGGCGCGTCAGACCCGTTCGGGCTTGCGAGCCCGCAAAGCACGCCTAGCGAGACGCCTCGGGATATGGTTGCTCCGTCTCCAAGGGCCCACGGGAGCGGCGCTTCGCGAAGATCCCGCGAAGGGGCTCTGCCTGCGCGCGCGCACCGGTCCGGCGGGTTGGCAGGCGAAGCGGTGGTGGCGAAGGTGACCGCGCTTCGACTGGATGACGTGGCGGAGGTTTATTCGTCGGATGAAGAGTTTCTAGACATGTTTTGCGAACGCGACTCCGAGATTCGCGATGACTTACGCGAACAAGGAGTGCCCGACCACACTGGCGGCTCGCACGGCGTCGCAGGGCAACACTCGTCGACGGCGGTAGCAAGCCCCTCTGCGACTGGTGCGACTGTGTCCAAATCGTCGTCGATGTCGCAGTTGTCGCAGCGCTTCGTCATACCGCATTCGCACACCGTGCCACTTCCGCCGCCGTCTCCTGCGGGCGCGCGGAGGGCGCTGCGGAAGGCCTTTAGCCACAACGACGAGAAGAACGTCCGCGCGATCGGCGGAAACGGTCGGCGCAACTCCCGCTTGGCGCAGGCGAAGGCGGGTGGCGCAACTCCCGCGCATGCGAGCGGGTTTCACTGCTACGCGGTAGAGGAGTCCCCGCGCATCCCCGCGCATAGCTGCGCGGAAGGGCCCGCGGAAGATCTCGCGGAAGGGCCCGCAGAAGGTCTTGCGGAAGTGTCCGCGCACAGAGGCTCGTGGGTTGATCGCAACGATGCTGGAGACGATAACGCTACTTCGCGTGGCGGTTCGTGGAATAATTCTGACCGTTGGATCGACGATGCGGACGATTGGATGCCTCCCACGTCAAGACGGCAGCAGCAGCAGACGCAACAGCAACAGCAACAGCACCAGCAGCAGCAGCGGCGGGATCTTCAAAAGCAGGGGTCGATCCAGGGAAGTCGAGGTGCTTTAAGATCCGGAAGCCGCGCTGCGGGTAGCGCCCATCCCGTGCCGGCCGATGCGGTAACCGGCGCAGCGGCGCAGATCAACTCCGGAATGGCGCAAACTCACCCCGCAGCGCGTTTCTCGCCACGCACGATTCGCGAGACGACCGCGTCTATAAGCGGACGATCGCGCAGCTCGTCGGATCTGCAGCGCGCCGCCAATACCTCCGCGCTTCTCCCGCCGTTTCCCGCTTCCCCGTCCGCCGGTTCCCCATCTGCCGCTTCCTCGTCCACCGCTTCCCCGTCCGCCGCTTCCCCTTACCCTGCATTCCCAACCTCTCTCTCCACCCCCTCTGCGCACCCCTCACTCGCTCTCGTCTCCCCTTCTTCCTCCTCTTCCGCCGGCCCCTCCCCTTCTTCCGCTTCCTCATCCCCTTCATTTTCCGCCTTCCCGCGACCTTCCGCACTCGCATGTCGTATTACTAGACCCGCCGCCGCCAGTACTGCACGATCCGCGGCGGTTCGAGCCGCGGCGGTTGTTCCAACATCCCCTCGCTATTGTCCCACATCGCCACGTCACGAACTGCTTTCACCGCGTCAGGAACCACAATCCTCGCCACGTCACAGACCGTCTTCGCCACGTTGCTTCCCCATTTCGCCAGATCAGCAGGCCCCCGTCTCACCTCGTCATTTACCCGCTTCTCCACGTCACTGTCCCTCGTCCCCACGTCACCTCCCTACATCTCCTCGTCACCTCCCGCCATCTCCACGTCAGCGTGACGTGGCACCCGCATCACCCCGCCGCCCGTCGGGGATCGCGGCGGCAATCGCGGCGCAGGCTGCGGCAGACGCGGCGGCGGCAATTCCGTCCGACGTGGACTCGGACGAAGAAGCGATGGGGATTGTAAACGCGCTGCGGCGGACGCGCAGCAACCCGCGATCTGCGCTGCCGTCGCGTCCGCCAGTGGTCTCTGCTGCGGGGAAAGGATCCGCGCAAGGATCCGCGCAGACGTTGCCCTTAGTCCGGAGCGGTTCGCAAAAATCTGTTGACGTTTGTGGCAGTGGGGGAGGAAACGGTGCTGACGTGTACGCGTCTGGTGCTGGCTGCAGTAACGAGTACTGTGCAAGCTACAGTGAAAAAAGTCACGGTGGAAGTAAGTATAGTGAACTAAACTACAGTGATTACAGTGACGGCCAATTGCACAGAAACAGGAGCGCTGGTAGTTTGGTGAAAGGGAGGAGGTCACTGGACAGCACTCGAATTTCGGGGGATTTACGGAGTCAACACCGCAGTGGAGGGGAAACTGAAATTGTTATTTCCCCAATTTCTTCCGATTATTACGTTCCCCTGCAACGTCAAGGCTCTTCGGGCTGCAGGATGAGCCACGGGGCGGGTAGCACTGGGCGGCTGGCGAGTCTTCTGCCAGCGGAACGGACAAGGCCAAGCAGCAGCCATGCTTTTGTTGATAGAAACGGTCCTGCTTGTAAGGTGGATTCCGAGAGTGGAGTGGGAAGGGAAGTGGGTGACGGGCCTAAGAGGAGTGGTGGGAAGGTTCGGAGGGAAGGGGGTAGAGTGAGTGAGGTTGGGAATATGAGTGAAGGAGGTGTGTGTGAGAGGACAAGAAGGTACGGACTTGGAAGGGGGGGAAGGGGGGAAGGAGGAGGAGGAGGAGGAGGAGGAGGAGGAGGAGGAGGAGGAGGAGGAGGAGGAGGAGGAGGAGGAGGAGGAGGAGGAGGAGGAGGCGGCGGAGGGGAAGGAGGGGGAGGGCCTGACACCCCAGCAGCTCTGCGGGATAGGTCGAGTGACTTACTTTGGGAAGCGGAGAGGAGAGAGGAGGAAAGGAGAGAGAGAATCAATGAGGAGATGCAACTGAGGGGATGGAGAGGTGTGGAGAGGTCTGTGGGGGAGAGGGGAGGTGTGGGCGGGAGTCGCAGCTTCACAATAGGTCGGAGCGAGAAGCTGGCTGGAGTGGCAGAGAGAGGCTTGTTGACTGACAGCCATGGCAGCCGCAGCTGCTCTTGGGTCAGAAGCAGTTCCATCAGTGGCAGCAGCAGTGGGAGCATCGGCATCGGCAAAAGCAGCAGCAGCAGTATCGGCATCGGCAAAGGCAGCAGCAGCAGTATCGGCATCGGCATCGGTGGCAACAGTGGCAGCTTTAGTGTTGCCAGCAGCAGTGGGAGTATTAAAATCAACAGCAGCGGCAGTAGCATTAGGAGCATCGATACGATTAGTAGGGTTAGCAGCAGCAGCAGCAAAGGGTTTGTTCCTTCAGCCCCAGTAGGGTCTGCTGCAGCAGCAGCCGCTGCAGCAGATATTGACCTGGATGCTGCGTTTTCGATGCACAGTGCTGCTATACGAAGGAAACCGGGCGGTGAGTTTCGTCGAGAGTATGAATATGAGGATGCGGGAGAGGAGGTTCATGAGGGTGACGAGGGCACGGGTTATCTGAAGGAGGATGAGGATGTGTTTCAGGGTTTCGGAGTAACGAGCATGAACAGGTTGAATTGGAAGGAGGAGGTGCTAGCAGCAAGGGGCTTGGGCCGAAGAGGAGAAGCCGGGTACAGAGATACACACAGAATGCAGGGGCTTTCTGGCTTCAAGAAATACCTCCAGCACGCTGATATGGAGGATGAGGAGGATTTTGAATCTGGCGCTTGTCTGAAAAGCCGAAGCATGAGTGCAAGGACTTCTCGTGGGCACCTTTCGGTGGAGTGCGGTTCAGAGGTTGGTGAAAGCGACAGCAGATGCCATGCATACTATCAGGAGTGGAGGAGGCTGGAAGTTGATGGTAGGTTTGGGAAGGATCAGCATGATTGCGAGGAAGGCTTTTGGTATGATGAGGAGAGGGAGAGGGTAGGATGGGGGGGACAAATTAGAAAATCGAGAACCGTTCCAATTGATCCTACTAGCGTATATAATCTGTAGGATATGGCAGAGCCTACAAGCCTTTGAGTCTTCTCTGCTTGAACTTGGTGCCTGCTAATGAGTTCCTATTGGTTCTGTTCATAACGAGCTAAAATTGAATGTTCTGCTTAGTTTTTTTGTTCTTTTCTTTTTTGTTATAAGCATAATTGGAGAACGCTAAACCGTACCGAGGTTCTTGCACCTTCGTGTGCCCCTCCCAGTCTGACTGCGGCGACATTTCCAGCCAGTAGTGGCCGTCGCAATCACCGCGTCGAGCTTCGTCACCGACAGTCGTACGCAGATCGACGCTTCTTTTTGAATGCGACGCCTGTCCAAGTTTTTCAGTCGCTATCGCGATTCGACGCTTGTCCCAAATCATCAGTGCTGTGCGACAAGTGTTCATGGGGAATGTTCCAAGTTCAAATCTCCAATAGCGGGAAGAACCTGAGGCTCGTTCAGCGAGGGTCGCATGTGCATTCACGTACAGTACGTTTGAGAGCGAAGATGGAAAGATCTCTGTTCTTACCGTCTGAAAACCCACTGAACCGTACTGGACGCTCAGGCGATTTAGGCATGGGACTCACTGGAGCTGTGGTGTCAAGTCAAGCGGGTGGAATGGTAGCGAGTTTAGAATGTGAGTGTGGTGTGCTCTTTGCTGACGCAATAGCTAGTTAGAAGGCTGGCTCTTAGTTGCTCGTTGTGGTTGATTCGAAGAGAGTTTGTTTCTAGAGAAAGAGAGTTTGTTTCTAGAGAACTTGTTTCCAGTTCGAGTTCCTACCCGACACGTATAGGTTGCATACGACTGGAGCGCAGGTATCAAGCTTGTATAGCTTCCTCCGAACTCTTTCTTTTAGCTCCTATCCCCGTGTCGCTCCTTCTGCCTGGCTCTTCACAAAACAGTGCAGTGATAGTTTGACACGTAGAAACTGTTGCGAACACTGCCCATGCGCCTCTAAACAGACCATCACCGACCTTTGGATTAGTAGTGCCATTTTTTTACCGTCCCAAAGGTAATAGACGCCAAAAAGGCCGCCGAAACGAAGGAGTCAGCGGGTTACGAAGCGAGGAGTCAGCGGGTTGCGAAGCGAGGAAGGAAAAAACATAGTGCGCTCATCTCTGGATACTTCTTTTCACGAAGAAACGAAACGCTCGCGAGTCGCCAGTGGTTACCTGACAATGGCTGACACTCGACGGCATCCGGGAAGGTTCCTCGCAGCACATTCGTACAATCACACCCTTCTACAGTCACGCATGTGCAGCTCGACACGGTCGCCTATGTTCCCGCTATTGCTCGTCATCGCTTTGCTTTGTTCACACTCGCCGAGCCTGGAAGCCGAAGCTGCTAGTCTGGTTCGGCAGGTGGTGAAGCTCGGGTTCCTGCTGCCGTATCCCAAAGCCGACAACGTCATCCCCGTGCGCCTTGCAGACGAATGGTACGCGTCTCCCCCAAAATCGCCTCTTTGTCATGGTTTTTGGAATTCCAGCATTCGTTAAAAAAACGCTTTTGATGCTGTATCGCAGAAAGCCGACAACGTCATTCCCGTGCGCCTCGCAGACGAATGGTACGGGCCTTGTTTAAGGTCGATTTGGAGGTCACACTAGGGCCCAAATAGGGCTCATACCGTGAGAAGAACTGTCCAGATTTGTGCTCGCGACCTCTCTATCTATATCTCTCACCCTCACCCTCTCACCCTCTCACCCTCTCGCTTTCTCTCCCTCTCATCCCTCTCACCTTCTCACCCCCCTCCTTCAGGATCGCAGCATCACGAGTGGCTCTGGAGGTGCTAGGACCGAAATACTCAGACTCTTTTGATGTGTTGCTGCACATCGCCAACTCGCACACACTGCCTGCCCAAGGGCTACCCCCACTCTTCTCCCACCTTCTCCTCCTCTCCCTCTCCCCATCGATGCCACACTCCAGGAGTGGCTCCGGAGGTGCTAGGACCCAAATACTCGGACGCCTTTGATGTGGTTCCGCACATTGCCCCTTCAACTGCCGTTCCCCCACCCATCATCACCCCCATCCTCCAGGATCGCAGCATCACGAGTGGCTCTGGAGGTGCTAGGCCCCAAATACTCGGACGCCTTTGATGTGGTTCCGCACATTGCCAACTCCAACTGTGATCGGCAGGAGGCCAAGGAGGCTGCGCAGGTAAGGGGAGGTGTGGGCATGAGGGGACCAGCATGTGCAGAGGCGTTCGAGTGCTTGGATGCCCATTCCATTTGATGTGGCGCCACACATTGCCAACTCCAACTGCGATAGGGAGGAAGCAAAGGAGGCTGCGCAGGTGAGAATGGGGGTGGGCGTGAGGGGACCAGCAAGCACAGAGGCCTTCCAATACTCGGCGCAGGTGAGGGGCGGGGTGGGCATGGCATGGGTATTTTGGGTCCTCCTTGAGTGGTCGAATGCCCATTCCATTTGATGTGGCGCCACACATTGCCAACTCCAACTGCGATAGGGAGGAAGCAAAGGAGGCTGCACAGGTAAGAGGTGGTTCTTGAGAATTCTAAAAAACCGGAGGTGGTTGGGTTGGGTGGGGTAAGCGCAGGGGCAGGGTGCGTTTGATGCTGGTACTAACCCTCTCCGCCCCTCTCCGCCCCCCTCCACTCCTGTCACTGTCTCTGCCTGTTACCCCTTGCAGCTCTTGCTAAGGGATGGGGTGGTGGGAGTGGTGGGACAAGCGTGCACTGAAGCATTGCCTGTTGGCAAGCCCATATGCTCACTCTCATGCCTAAATCTGTCTTTGCCTGACTCTCCGCCTTGCAGTTGCTACTGAGGGACGGGGTGGTAGGAGTGGTGGGCCCGGCGGGCACAGAGGCAGCTTTGGGAGCAGCAGACGTGCTGGTGTCTGCCGGTGTTCCCATAGTCTCCCCTTGCCCCTCTCCACCCCTCTCCGCCACTTTCCACCGTCTCTGCCTGTGCAGCTCCTACTCAGGGATGGAGTGGTGGGAGTGGTGGGCCCGGCATGCACGGAGGCAGCGCTGGGAGCAGCAGACGTTCTCATGCCTGCTGGCGTTCCCATCGTCTCATTCGCTGCCACGTGGGATGGATTCAGAGACCGGGAGAGATTCGGCAGCTTCTTCCGCACTGTGTGAGTCAAAGGGCTGTTTATAGGCCAACAGGGGTGTGGGAATCGGTTCGGTTGGGTTGAGATGGATCATAGGGCAGCGTTGGGAGCAGCAGACGTTCTCGTGCCTGCTGGTGTTCCCATTGTCTCACTTGGTGCCTCGTGGGATGGGTTCAGAGACCGGGAGAGATTCGGCAGCTTCTTCCGCACTGTGTGAGTCAAGTGCAGGCGGAGATCGGTTGGGCTGGGTTGAGCTGGGTTAAGGGGCGTTGTGCTGGTTACAGGGCACCACGTGGGGTGGGTTCAGAGACCAGGAGAGATTCGGCTCATTCTTCCGCACTGTGTGAGTCGAGAGGGTGTGTGGTGAATAAGGATTCGGCTGGATTGGGTTGAGCTGGGTTGAGAAAATTCAAGCGGCAGCACTGGGAGCATACCCCCCATTCCCCCACCATCCATTCCCACCATCCTCACAGCTTTGGCGACAGGCACCAGGCAGCAGCCATGCGCTCGCTCCTCCCTCTGCTGCACTCTTAGAATGCCTCTCCTCTTTGCATCCGCACACCCCCCCTCCCCCTCTCCCCTCCACAGCTTCGGTGACAGGCACCAGGCAGCAGCCATGCGCTCCCTGCTTCAGGAGTTCGTGTTTGATCGAGTCATTCTGTTCTTCACAGAGGATACGTACGGATCAGCACTAGGCTATGATATCGAGGTGAGCGGGGTGCACTTGGCTCCGCGCTTGCTTGTGTACATCCGGGCATGTATGGGTGCATGCTTGCATGGTTCTCTTTGTGTTTGACCGAGTCATCCTGTTCTTCTCAGAGGACACATACGGCTCAGCTCTAGGCTATGACATTGAGGTGAGCGGTGCGCTCGATTCTTTGGTTGCATGCTGCATGCTTTCATGACTGCATGTGTCCCGGTGTGTTTGAGCGAGTAATCCTTCTTTTTCACAGAGGACACATATGGCTCAGCGCTAGGCTATGATATCGAGGTGGGTGGGGTGCACTTGTGCTTGCATGCATGTGTGCTTGCTTGTGCCCCCGTGTGCATGACTACGTACATGGGCCCCTTCGTGTGTGAGCGTGTCATTCTGTTCTTCACAGAGGACATGTTTGGCTCAGCACTAGGCTATGACATCGAGGTGAGATTTGTTGGTGTACGCAGAGCAGAGGCGTTGTGACAGGCACGTTGGTGTGTTTGATCGAGTCATTCTGCTCTTTAAGCAAGCCTACTACAAGATTTTTTTCAAGCTAAAACTAAACTATGGTAGTGTACATGTTTTTGAGTCGACTCAAAATATGGTAGTGTACATGTGTGCATGAGTGTATGCTTGCGAAACTGCACGCCTGTACCCGTGCACCACAGCCTGAATTTTGAGACGTCTCAGTACCCGTGCACAATAACCTAACAATTCCAGTCACAATGACAACCTCCTCACAGTGCACAGCATACCCGTCCCAATGCCCTGCTCCAAAACTCCCCTCTCCACTCTCTCCCCCTTCTTATCCTTCCCACCCCACCCTTCAGTACTTTGCTCACAATAGCAACCTCCTCACAGTGCACAGCATACCCGTCCCAGTGCCCTCCTCCAACCTCTCCACTCTCTCTGTTGCTTGGTGTCCCCAGCATAACTCCCCACACCTCCCCCTTTTTCGGTTTCTGCCTTTCCCTCAGTATTTCGCGCGCAGTGACAACCTGACAACCCGTCCCAGTGCCCTGCTCGAGCAATTCTTCTCTATGCTCGATGCCCCTCAGTCCACCCCTTTCGCCCTCTGGCCTCCCCCCCACTCCATCCCCTCCCTCCAGTATTTCGCTCGCAGTGACAACCTGACAGTCCACAGCATACCCGTCCCAGTGCCCTGCTTGAGCAATTCTTCTCTATGCTCGATGCCCCTCAGTCCACCCCTTTCGCCCTCTGGCCTCCCCCCCCTCCATCCCCTCCCTCCAGTATTTCGCTCGCAGTGACAATCTGACAGTGCACAGCATAACCGTCCCAGTGCCCTGCCTCAACTACTCCTCGCTCCTCCTCAACCTCTCCGACCCGAGCCCTTTCAAGCCGCTCCTGCAAGCTAATGAAGTCACATGTCCCCTGTTCCCTACCCTTCCCTCCAGTACTTCGCGCGCAGTGACAATCTGACAGTCCACAGCATACCCGTTCCGGTGCCCTGCCTCAACTACTCCTCCCTCCTCCTCAACCTCTCCGACCCAAACCCTTCCAAGCCGCTCATTCAATCCGATGACTCCACAGTGGTGGTCCTAGCGGTCTCACCCAACGCAGCTGAGGGCTTTTGGCGCGCTGCACTAGACCTGGTGAGTGCCACTGGTAAGAACCCCTAGTGATCCACGCCCCTCCAAGCCGCTCATTCTCACCCAACGCAGCTGAGGGCATCTGGCGCGCTGCTCTAGACCTGGTGAGTGAAGAGCAGTGCTGACGAAATCGCCTTACGAATTCCCCTCAGTATCTGCTCTCCTCAACCTCTCCAATTCGGGCCCTTCCAAGCCGGTGACTCCACGATTGTGGTCCTACCCGTCTCGCCCAACGCAGCTGAAGGCATTTGGAGGGCGGCTCTAGACCTGGTGAGTGGAGCAGTGGCTGATGAAAACTCCGCAGAGCCTAGTGTGTACCTGAATTCCCTTGAGAAACTGCCCCCTCCATGCTCCTCCGAGCCGCTCATTCATTCCAATGACTCCACGGTTGTGGTCCTCACCGTCTCGCCCAACGCAGCTGAAGGCATTTGGAGGGCGGCACTAGACCTGGTGAGTGAAGAGTAGTGCTGATAAGACCGCCTTACGAATTCCCCTCAGTATCTGCTCTCCTCAACCTCTCCAATTCGGGCCCTTCCAAGCCGGTGACTCCACGGTTGTGGTCCTACCTGTCTCGCCCAACGCAGCTGAGGGGATATGGCGCGCTGCATTAGACCTGGTGAGTAAGTGAAGGGTTTCAGTGTCCCTCCCGGGGACCCAATCCCTTCCAAGCCTATCCAAGCGGATGACTCCACAGTGGTGGTGCTTGCCGTCTCGCCCAACGCAGCCGAGGGGATATGGCGCGCTGCTCTTGCCTTGTGAGAGATACCCCTTGGGAAGCATGGAGTAGGGGGCGCTGTTGTAACAGTGTGCTCCTCCAAGCCACTCATTCAAGCCAGTGACTCCACAGTGCTGGTGCTTGCCGTCTCACCCAATGCAGCTGAAGGCATCTGGCGTGCTGCTCTAAACCTGGCGAGTTGAGAAGTGCTGCCTAGAATATACTTGAAATCCCTTGGAAATCTGGTGTTTCCAAGTCCCTCCAAGCCGCTCGTCCAAGCCCATGACTCCACAGTGGTGCTGCTTGTTGTCTCACCCAATGCAGCCGAGGGGATATGGCGTGCAGCTCTATACCTGGTAAGTGATGTCCCCTTCAAATCTGGTCTCTCCAATTCCTTTTGAGTCAACTCAAAAGTTGACTTTTTTAATTGACTCAAAAGTCAGCTCTAGACCTGGTGAGTGATATCCCCTTCAAATCTGGTCTCTCCACGCCCCCCCACGCCCCTCCACGCCCCTCCACGCCCCTCCACGCCTTTTGAGTCGACTCAAAAGTCACCTCTCCAATACCCTCCACGCCCCTCCACGCCCTTTCAAGCCCCTCACTCATTCACCAGGTTCCCCGTTCTTCCTCCCCCCTCTTGAGGAAACCACGTCTAGTTTTGAGGCGCATCAAAACTAGGCCTCCACGCCCCTCCACGCCCCTCCACGCCCTTTCAAGCCCCTCACCCATTCACCAGTTTCCCATTCGTCCTTGCCCCCCCCTTGCGGAAACCACGTCTAGTGTTTGAGGCGTCTCACAACTAGGCCTCCACGCCCCTCCACGCCCTTTCACGCCCTTTCAAGCCCCTCGCTCATTCACCAGGTTCCCTGTTCTTCCTCCCCCCCCTCTTGCGGAAACTACACCAGGGTCGATTGGAATATCCTTGGTGGTATTTTGGCACGGATGGAGCAGTGGCATTCGACCTGGTGGGGGAAGGTGAGACGATGGTAGCTGGGGAGCAGTGGCATGGCATGATTTTTGAGGTGTTGGAATACCCTTGGTGGTACTTCGGGACGGATGGAGCAGTGGCATTCGATCCTGTGGGGGAAGGTAAGCCGGGGGATCCGGGGAAGGGGGAAACTGGGGGAGGGGGATACTGGGAAACCACCAGGGTCGGTTGGAATACCCGTGGTGGTATTTCGGCACGGATGGAGCAGCGGCATTCGATCTTGTGGGGGAAGGTGGGCAGGGGGGGTCGGGTCAGTGGTTTCATTTGCCTGCCCCGTGCGGGCCGACCCGACCCGACTGTGGCTAAAACCCGAGCATGGAACTCGGGCTAAAACCCGAGCATGGAACTCGGGCTAAAACCCGAGCATGGAACTCGGGCTAAAACCCGAGCATGGAACTCGGGCTAAAACCCGAGCATGGAACTCGGGCTAAAACCCGAGCATGGAACTCGGGCTAAAACCCGAGCATGGAACTCGGGCCGAGTCGGGTCGGGTTTCGGGTCAGTCTTGACCCGACCGAAATTCGGGTCAGGACCAGGAGCCCGACCCGATTTCGACACACTGGGGACGAAACCCTAGGTCAAATTGTTGTAGAGGGGTTTTTTATCCCCTCGACATCAGAACCTACCCACGCTCTCAATCTTGCCTAATGGCAGCAAGCAAGTCACCTAAGCTTAGAAACTACTTAGTTACCACCCGTTCAAACCTCATTGATAGGCATTCATAGCTAGTTTACTATCGTATCCTGCTGTTCACGGAAAATCGCGATGCAGGAATGGCGTTTTTTTACAGCATCGCGTTTTACTAGCGATACTTCAATTCTCAGGCTGCACGCTTCGTTTTAGGCCAGCAGTTGCTCATAGGCGCGCCAGCAACTAACATTGCACCATTTCGTAGAGGTTCTTAGGGGCCATCCTGGGCGGGTCATCCTGGCCCTGCCCGACCCGACCCGTGACCGGGTCCAAGTTGACCCGAGTGTGTAGGACCGAGTCGGGCCAGAACCTTCAGCACCCTGGCCCGAGGTTGGCCCGACCCGACCTGACCCGGGAGCCCGTGTGGCCCGGCCAAGTCGGGTCAGGTCGGGTCGGGTTGGGTTGGGTGGACGCTCATCTCTATGGGGAAGGTGAGTTGAGGGGTCTAGTGAGGTGTGGCCTAGCATGGCTGGCTGCTGAGGTGGTGGAAATTGGAATATCCGTGGTGGTATTTCGGCACGGATGGAGCAGTGGCATTCGATCTTGTGGGGGAAGGTGAGCAGGGGGGAACTGGAAAAAAATAGAGAAGGTGAGACGAGGGGTCTAGGGAGCAGTGGCATGGCATGATTGCTGAGGTGCTGGAATATTCCTGGTGGTGTTTTGGGATGGATGGAGCAGTGGCATCCGATCTTGTGGGGGAAGGTGAGCAGGGGGGGACTGGGGAGCAGTGGCATGGCATGATCACTTAGGTGTTGGAATATCCGTGGTGGTATTTCGGCACGGATGGAGCAGCGGCATTCGACCTTGTGGGGAAGGTGAGCAATACGGGAACCAAGGCCAGTCAGGAAAAGGGAAAAATAGCGGGTGAGTTGTACTGCGTCGTGTTTTGAGTCGACTTATATTGAGTGAGCTGTACTGCCCACTCTTGTCTCGTCTCCTCTCCTGCTTTTGAGGCGCCTCAAACGGTGAGCAATAAGGGAGCTACATACGTGCCAAGTGCCAGTCAGGAAAAGGGAAAAATATTGGGTGAGCTGTACTGCCCATTCTCGTCCTGTATCCTCTCCTGTTTGTGTCCCAACCTTGCTATATTGAGAATCTCGAAAAGCGATTCTCAAAAACGATTCTCTAAAGTGACTCGTAGAAGCAGCTCATCCTCCTCACCTCACTTCTCCTGCTTGTATCCCAACCTCGCTATATTGCCGTCTGACGATTCCGAAAGGCGGTTCGCAAATGTGACTCGTAGAAGCGACTCATTCTCCTCACTCTCCTGCTTGTGTCCCAACCACTCGTCCACCAATGCATATCGTTTTTTAGGCGCCTCTTAGAAGCGAATCGTTAGAAGCAACTCATTCTCCTCTCTTCTCCTGCTTGTTTCCCAACCTCCCGACCGCCACTGCAGGCCAGAACCTGACAGCCTTAGCGTCAGCACTGCAAGGGGAGATGGGGGTCGCCCCTTACAGTAAGTGCGGAGTGAATAAAATGAAGGCGTGTCAACATGGCGCTTCTGAGGTATCTTGAGAATACTTTTGACTTTTGAGTCGACTCATAAGTCACCTCGATACCATGGCACACTAAGTGCGGAGTGAATATAATTAAGATAGGCGTCAGCATGGTGCTTCTCAGGTATCTTGAGAATACTTTTGACTTTTGAGTCGACTCAAAAGCAGATTCTTACAGTAAGTGGAGACTAAGAATTAAGATCAGAATGGCGTCAACATGGTGCTTCTTTTGAGGCGCCTCAAACGAAAGGCGTCAACATGGTGCTTCTTTTGAGGCGCCTCAAAAGATAGGCGTCAACCTGGTGCTTCTCAGGTATCTTGAGAATACACTACTGCAGGTCAGAACCTGTCAAAACCTGGTTTTTGAGAATTCTGAAAAAAGTCAGAACCTTTCAAAACCTAGCAGTATTATGGGGATTACTCCTTACAGTAAGTGAAGCTACCAACTGCGTGGAATATTTCTTTACCAGGAGAGCACATAATGCATTAGCAGTCCAAGCGGCATGACACCTACCCTGTTCCACGTTCATATGACCCCCCCCTGTTGCCCCCAACCTCCATTGTACAGGGGGAGACTATTCAGATTCCTCCCCTCTATGCGCTCTATGGGAGTACATAACGCACTGGCGGACCAAGCGCCATGACATCTACCCGGGTTTGCTCACTCTCGACGTTGGGCCCACCTCTACCCCTCCCTTCTGCCTATGTCATTCATTCCCTCGCTTACAGAAGGAGACTACTTGGACTCGTCCCCTGTACGGGAATATATAATGCACTGGCGGACCAAGCGCCATGACATCTACCCGGGTTTGCTCACTCTCGACGTCAAGCCCCCCCTGTCCCCCGCTTCTCCCCACCCTGTACTGCCCCCATTACCCACTCCTCCTATCAGAGGGAGACTACTCGGGCTCCTCCCCCATATGGGAATACATAATGCACTGGCGGACCAAGCGCCATGACATTTACCCTGGCTTGCTCACTCTCGACGTCGGGCCCTCCCTCCCGCGCTTCAACTCCACCCGCCAATACGTGCCGTACCTCTTTGACGCCGTTCACGCCTTCTTTGAAGCTTTCAGGAGCATTATTGCCAACCAGAGTGAGTGTCTTGGTGGGTGGGGTGCGGGGTTGGCTTGGGTCCCTCTCTCCCTGCCCCACATTTCCGCTCGTTCACTCCCGCGCTTCAACTCCACCCGCCAATACGTGCCGTACCTCTTTGATGCCGTTCACTCTTTTTTCGAGGCCTTCAGCAGCATTATTGCCAACCAGAGTGAGTGTCTTGGTGGGTGGGGTGTGGAGTTTACTTGGATCCCTCTGTCCCTGCCCCACCTCACTCTCCCCCGCTTCAACACCACCCGCCAATACGTGCCGTACCTCTTTGATGCTGTTCAATCTTTTTTCGAGGCCTTCAGCAGCATTATCGCCAACCAGAGTGAGTGTCTCGGTGGGTGGTGTGTGGGGATACCACCATCCGATGAGGGGATGACTAGGGACTTTCTCCCCTTCCTCCCACCTCACTCCCCCGCTTCAAATCCACCCGCCAATACGTGCCGTACCTCTTGATGTTGTTCACGCCTTCTTTGAAGCTTTCAGGAGCATTATTGCCAACCAGAGTGAGTGTCTTGGTGGGTGGGGTGTGGGGATGGCTTGGGTCCCTCTCTCCCTGCCCCACCTTCCCCCACCTCACTCTCCCCCGCTTCAACACCACCCGCCAATACGTGCCGTACCTGTTCGATACCATTCACCCCTTCTTTGCTTGTATCGCTAGCCGACTTTTGAGTCGACTCAAAAGTCGTATCGCTTCTGAGAGCTCTCAAAAGTGTCCAATATTCTTTCCACGTGTGTGTGTCTCCAATTCGCAGACACAGCACCCACTAAGGAGCTTGTGCTGGCGTGCTTTAAAGGCGTGCCGCAAGGATGCATCAACTTCACGGGAACCACAGGGCAGGTGAGGAGGGCAAGGGTCAGTGAATGTGTGTGTTCCATGTATGTTTCTGCAACTGCAAGTATTTTTGAGACGTCTCAAAAATACCCTCTCAGCAAGGGTCAGAGTACGTGTGTGTTCCATGTATGTTTCTGCAACTGCAAGGGACACTTGAGCTGGGAAGGGGTGTGCTGACGTGCTTTCGAGGCGTGCCGCAAGGATGCAATGTCTTCATGGGGATGACTCGACGACAGGTGAACGGCTCATGTTTGTAGCCCCTCCGACCGACCGCATTGCTCCAGGGTATTTTTGAGATTTCTCAAAAATACCCTGCAGCATCATGACTCGACTACAGGTGAACGGCTCAAGTCTGTAGCCCCTCCGGCCGACCGCATTGTGGTTTTGAGACGTCTCAGTTGTCCCCCCACCGCCCCCATCCATCCCTCCACCACAACCAGGTCTCATTCACCCCAGCTACAGGCGAGCGATTGAAATCTGTGGCCCCTCCGACCCACCGCATTGCAAATCTGGAGGGCGTGACGTGGCAGGAGAAGGCCCACTGGGAGGAGCGGCACGTGGAGCGCTTCACTCTCTCTCACTCCCCTCCCATACCCGTACCCGTCCTCCCATCACCAGGTATCCTTCAACCCAGCTACAGGCGAGCGCTTGAAATCTGTGGCCACACCGACCTACAGCATTGTAAATCTTGAGGGCGTGATGTGGCAGGAGAAGGCCCGCTGGGAGGAGCGGCACGTGGAGCGCTTCACTCTCGACCTCACTCAAATCTCCCGCCCGGGTCCTCTGCCCGGTGCTGCTGCTGGTGCTGGTGCTGGTGGTGGCGGTGGCAGTGGTGGTGGCGGTGGTGGTGCTGGCAATGGCAGTGCAGCAGGGGTGAAAGAGGCAGGTGACTACTCAGCTCCTGCTGCGTTTGATGTCTTGAATCAGGTCAGTGGGGAGATCGGGGACTTTGGAGTGAAGAGCCAAGCTGAGGCGGCAGGCGATAGCAGCAGCAGTAGTAGCGGCAGTGGTAGCGGCAGCAGCAGCAGTGGTGGTGGTGCTACTGGCGGCAGCAACAGTGACACGGGCCCTTCAACTGGTTCCTCGATGCCTGGTTATACCATCGCTCTGCTTGTTCTCCTTTCTCTCATGCTCCTGTGCCTTGTAACGTACCTGGCTTGTATGGGGTACAGCAGTTGGAGGAGCAGGGAGGAGGAGGGGGACGGGCAGCAGCAGCTGTATGGGGGATCATCTGGAGGTGATGTGTATTTGGCAGGCTTTAAGGGAGGAGAGGTGGGGGGAGAGGAGTATGTGCGGAGGTATAATGGAGATGGGGAGTGGATAGGTGGGGGGAGTTGGGCCGGGGGATTTGGGTTAGGGAGTGGGTTCGGAAGTGGGTTTGGCTTTGGGGGTGGGGGTGGGGGTGGGGGGATTGGTGGGGATGAGGAGTTGGTTCTGGGTGAAGGGAAGGTGGACGGAAGTGGGAGGAAGGGAGGAGATGGAGGGGATGGAATGGTAGATGCTAGCATGGACGATGTGGATACTGCTGCTGCTGACGAGGGTCATCATAAGCAAGTGTGGGTGCATATGCTATAGTATCAAAAACTGCCGTATGTGCGGTCATGTATACGTGTTTATAGTTTGTACAGTTTGCAAGTGATGTGTGTGCAAATGTACATGACGTGCGGGCATGGCTTGTTACAATAGTGTGCTTGTGAGTGGGCCTTTGCGATTCTTTGATTAGATAGCCTAAAAGAATATATTTAGATGAGCAAAGAGAATGAATTATCATGTTCCCAACTACCGTATTTGAAAGCCATCTGCTACATGTATGCACATGTTAGCAAGTCAGGTATTCAGAGCCAGACTAGAATGTCACTTATTGAACAGCTTATCAAGTCACTTTTCCATTAAGACAATCGGGATATGTTCTAACGAGACAATCTAGTTCTGCCCCGCTGTCCTGCTTTTTGCCGCGTTGCTTCCCCGTACCCTCCCTGACAGCCCAGCGCATTCTGGATGTCGGCGGCGTCACTCGAAGGGAGCTGTCCCCATGCGGGACAGCTCACCGTTTGCGCGGCCTGGAAACGCCCCTTCACCCCTCGAAAACGCCGTACCATTCCTGAAACCACTCTTCGACCAACCCCAACCTGTCGCGGAGGTTGGGCGCAGGAAACCAGGAAAATCACCCCCTTGACTGGTGCAGCGCGCGGAGGACCATTCAGGCGAGGAACAGTTCATAATTGCCTGAAAGTTGATATCCGTTATGCCTTTCCCGCAGGCAAGATTAGCACTCAGCACTTCACCATAACCCCGCCTTCAGACCGACTCGGTTATTGCATCAACGCGTCGTAGTTTACCATGGCTGCTCTCGCGTCGGTCTCTGCTGCTGCTCTCTCGAGCTCGTTCGTCCAGACTTCTTCGCTGAAGCTGTCTGCGAAGCCCGTCAATGTTCGCAGCACCCGTGCTGTCCGCATCGTGGCTATGGCCCAGCCTGATCTGAAGAAGGAGATTCAGGAAAAGATCGCTGCTGCTCAAGAAACCTGCTCCGATCCGAACTCCACCGCTGAGTGCGCTGCTGCGTGGGATGAGGTGGAGGAGATCTCAGCTGCCGCTGCTGATCAGGCTTTGAAGCAGAAGGCAGCAGATTACGAGGACCCCCTTGAGAAGTACTGCAACGAGAATCCCTCTGAGGATGAGTGCAGGATCTACTCTGACTGAGCGATCGACTGGTAGTTTACATGTGGGTTTTTAGTCAGTCAGATTAGCCTAGCCATGATGTCCATAGACGGATCTTTACTTGGCAAGGGCTGAGCTATGCCTGTTCGTTTTTCTGTTCATGAATAACTTTTGGTTTGATCTGACAGGCCAGTTCACAATGGTAGTGAAGGCTACCAGTATGTCCTCTTCGTAAACACAATAGGCGCTGCGGTTTCAGGGTGTTGGTGCCGTCCAATTTGTTGGGTCTCTTGTTGCCACTCTCAGCAGCTGAATTGAAGCAGGGGAGGAACGTAGTTTTTATCAGAGGCACATCACTCACCAGCTCTTACATCAATGTACCTGATTAATAAGTTCATCATCAACGCCTACTGATGATTTCATCACCAGCGCCGTGCCCGGGTTCTGGAAGATAATTTAGTTCTCATGCTGCTGCTTCTCGTAATATTTCCGGTTCCTGAGATGATTGTATATCGTGTCAAATGTTATATTTGTGATAGGCTGTAGTGAGTTGCTCCTTAGGGAGTACAACACTTTGTTAGGTATCCTACTTGTGTGCTTTCACAACGCTAATCCACTCATTCCGCTAAGCTACTTTGAGATGGTATCACGCTAGGTTACCTTCTAGGACCTCCGCGCCCCTAAGCGCCCTCTCGCCCGCGCCCCTAAGCGCCCTCCAGCCCGCGCCCCCTAAGCGCCCTCCAGCCCGCGCCCCTAAGCGCCCTCCAGCCCGCGCCCCTGAGCGCCCTCCAGGCCGCGCCCCTAAGCGCCCTCCAGCCCGCGCCCTTAAGCGCCCTCCAGCCCGCGCCCCTAAGCGCCCTCCAGCCCGCACCTTAGGCGCTCTCGCGACCGCGCCCTAGGCGCCTGCCCGTTCGCGTCCTAGGCGCCCACCACCACGCCCCTCAGGCGCCCGCCACGTTGCACCTCAGGCGCCCGCCACGTCACGCCTTAGGCGCCCGCCACGTCGCGCCTTAGGCGCCCGCCACGTCGCGCCTTAGGCGCCCGCCACGTCGCGCCTTAGGCGCCCGCCACGTCGCGCCTTAGGCGCCCGCCACGTCGCGCCTTAGGCGCCCGCCACGTCGCGCCTTAGGCGCCCGCCACGTCGCACCTCAGGCGCCCGCCACGTCGCGCCTTAGGCGCCCGTCCCGTCGCGCCTTAGGCGCCCGCCACGTCGCGCCTTAGGCGCCCGCCACGTCGCGCCTTAGGCGCCCGTCGCCCAGCGCCTTCGGCGCCCGCCAGCCAGCACCTTAGGCGCCCGCCAGCCAGCGCCTTAGGCGCCCGCCAGCCAGCGCCTTAGGCGCCCGCCACTTCGGGCCTTAGGCGCCCGCCCTCGCCTAAACCGCCCTATACCGCCCTTCAACCGCACTCAACCGCCCTAAACCGCCCTAAACCGCCCTAAACCGCCGCAAACCGCCATACACCGCACTCAACCGCCCTAAACCGCCCACACCGTTCGTTGCAAACCCTAGCCCCACCACTACCTTGTGCGCGGGGCCCTTCACAGCCCTACTGCCATCGGACTACCATTCAGCGGCTGGTAGCCGCTCTCTCTCCCGCCGGTAGCGTAGGTTAGAGTAGGGTCCGCACTAGTGCCTCCTTCGCTCCTAGTGTTCGCAGCCGTTTCTCTCCCTAGCTCTCCAACTGGCGCCTCTCGCCCTCAGTGCCAGTCCTCCACGTTCCTAGCTCTGCCTCTAGCATCCTCCTCATTCCTAGCTCCGACTCTGCCGTGCTCCAGCCACCTTTAGCATGACGTCCGCTATGGAGTCCCGTCGCCTCCGTTTCGACGCGGAGGGACGCCCGATCGAGTTCGGTACCTGGCGGCGTCAGACCACGCGCTTCCTCACCAGTCAGCGACAGGACAACGCCACTCTGTGGGCTCACGCGTCTAGTGCCCTCCAGGAGCCCCCGTCCCCCGCCGCCCTGCCGACCACCTCGGAGCCGACCCCTACGGCCCGGGCGGAGTACGAGCGTCGGGTCCTGGCCAGGGACGTGTGGCTCTCGCGTGACACTGCCGCCGCCCTCACACTGACGGAGCTTCTCCCGCCGACTGAGGCCGCCCACTTTGACCAGGTGGAGACAGCCAAGGGGGTTTGGGATGCTATTGTTGCCCGCTACTCCACCCCCTCCTCTGCCTCCCTCAGTCGCATCCTGATGCCGTTTGTGTTCCCCGACCTAGGCTCGTTTGCGACTGTGTCTGACCTTGTGACCCACCTCCGCTCGCTTGACGCTAGTTTCCGTGCGGCCTGTACCGACGAGCAGCTTCTAGCGGCTCCCCCCCCCTTGTGGCTCACTGTGCACTGGTTAGTCACCCGCCTCCCTGACCGCCTTGCCACTGCCCGCGACGCGCTCCTGCAGCAGCACCCCATTGAGCTCACCATCGATCTCCTTGAGACCGCTCTCGGGAAGATCGAGAGCAGCCTCCTCACCGTTGCCTCCGCCACTGACGCGGTGGCTCCCCGTCTCTTTGCGGGGTGTGCCGCCCCCCAGCTTCCCACGTTCACTGCTACCCGTCCTTCTGCTGCTGTGTCGGTTTCTGAGGACACTGCTGCCGTTTCTGCCGCAGACTGGCAGAAACGGGGCAAGAGCGGCAAGAGGGGCGGTAGGGGGGGAGGTGGAGGCGGTGGAGGCGGCGGTGGAGGTGGCGGTGGTGGGGGGGGCGGCGGCGGTAGCGGCGGCGGCGGCAGTGGTGGTGCACCGGGAGGAGGGGGCCCTGGAGGAGGTGCAGGACAGACAGGCCCGCCTACTGGTGGTGGTCCGACCGGTGGGGGTGGACAGCAGCAGCAGTCACAGCAGCAGCAGCCACAGCAGGTGCAGCAGCAGCAGCAGCAGCAGCCGGGACAGCAGCAGCAGCAGGCACAGCAGCAGTTCCAGCAGTGGGGCCCTCCGCTACAGTGGGGTCCGCAGCAGCACTGGGGTCCCCCGCCACAGTGGGGTCAGGGAGGCCCAGGGAGCACTGGCTGCAGCAGCAGCACTTCCAGCTGGGCCCCTCGTCCCCCTCGCCGTGACGGGGGCCCCTGCACCCATTGGTGCCTCACCGGGCCGGGCAGCCCCTGCCTCTGTGGTCGCGACGACCACTCTGCAGCGCGGTGCTTCCGCCGCCTCGACGACCTCTACCGGGCTCGCTGGGGCCCTCGGGCGGTCACGCCTCGCTGGTCTCGTCTGTTAGCCCATAAGATTGATGTATTTGATCTGTCCATGGACGATGCGCGTCAGCATGCTTTGTTTGTTGATGCTGACTTTAGTGCTGATGGATCTGTTTGCTCGCGTGTTCGTAGGTTAGCCTGCTTGCCTCCTGCTAGTGTAGCCTTGTGCCTGTCTAGCTTAGGTGCTTGTGTTGCTGCTCTAGGTGCTTGTGTAGCGACTGAGTCAGGTGACCCTCCGGTTGAGGCCTCTCTGTCGTTCACGCTGGACTCGGGCGCGTCTCAGTGCTTCTTCCGCGACCACACGACCCTTACCCCACTCCTCACACCTGTGTCGGTGGCTCTGGCTGATCCTACCTCAGGACCAGCCGTTGCGCGCAGCTCCACCACCCTCCCCTGCCCTGTGGTCCCCTCTGGTGTCCTGCGCGGCCTCCACATCCCCTCGTTCACTCGGAACTTGGTGGGTGTTGGATACCTCCAGGACAAGGGGATCACGGTTACCTTCGTGGGGGGTGGGCGGACTGCAGTCTGTACAGACGCTACCACAGGTGCTGTTCTGGCCACGTTCACCCGGGAGCCCCGCTCCGGTCTCTACGTCCTCCACACCGAGCGCTCCCCGGTCGCGTCCTCCCCTCAGGTCGTTGCGTCCCCTCCGGCCCAGGTCCCCAGTCCAGTTGCTGTGTCTAGCCAGGTAGTAGTGTCCGGTCCGGTCGCTGTGTCCAGCCCCGTCGCTGCGTCGTGCTCCTGTCGCTCTCTCACCCACCGCACCGTCCTGTGGCACCACCGCCTTGGCCACCCGTCGCTCCCTCGCCTACGTGGCATGCTCAGTCAGGGACTTGTCTCAGGTCTCCCACGCACCTTCCCGTCGCTCCCTCTCTCGCCTGCCCCTCCTTGCTCTCCGTGCGTCGCCGGTCGCTTACGCGCCACTCCCCACTCCTCCTCCCTTCGTCCGGCCACCGCTCCCTTCGAGACTCTCCACTTGGACGTCTGGGGCCCTGCCCGGACACAGGGGTCCGGGAGGGAGCGCTACTTTCTGGTGGTCGTCGACGACTTCTCCAGGTACACCACAGTGTTCCCTCTTGCGAAGAAGTCCGAGGTGACTGCTACGCTGATCAGGTGGCTTTTGGCCACTGAGGGCACTCGTGGTCGTCGAGTCAGTTGTCTCCACTCCGACCGAGGGGGCGAGTTTCGCTCCGGCATTCTTGCCGGATTCTGCGGCGAACAGGGCATCACCCAGTCCTGGACGCTGCCAGAGTCCCCACAGCAAAATGGGGTTGCTGAGTGCCGCATTGGCATGGTCATGGACATTGCTCGCACGTCCATGATTCACGCCCGTGCGCCCCATTTTCTGTGGCCCTACGCGGTTCGCTACGCCGCACACCAGCTGAACCTCCAGCCGCGTGTCTCGCGGCCCGAGGCTTCACCGACCAGTCTTTGGACTGGTTCCCCTGGTGTTGGGTTGGCCTTTCGAGTCTGGGGCTGCCTTGCGCAAGTCCGCGACACCTCTACGGACAAGCTCTCGGCACGCGCCATCGACTGTGTCTTCCTTGGGTTCCCGGTCGGCTCTGCTGACTGGACCTTTTACCACCCTCCCCTCCACCAGTTCCTAGACTCCCGTGACGTCCGGTTTGACGAGTCCGTGTCCTACTACACCCGGTACCCCTGTCGAGGTCTCCCGGTACCCCCTCCCCCTCTTTTCCTCGCACCCTCTCCTCCTCCTGCTCCCGCCCCTCCGGTACCCCCGCCCCCCCCTGGTCCTGCCCCGTCTGGTGTGTCCCACGTTACCCCTCTACCCTCGGTCGCGCGTCAGGTAGCGTCTCCCTCCCCACAGTCCTCCTCACAGTCCCCTCAGCAGCCTTCGGCACTTCCGCGACAGGTTACTGTGGACTCGGTTGGTGTTGGAGCTGGAGGTGCAGCCGCTGGCGGTGCTCGGTCTGGGGGTACTCGGTCGCGGGGTGCTGGAGCGGGAGGTGCTGGCGCAGGTGGCGCTAGCTCTGGGGGTGCTGGAGCTGGAGGTGCTGGCGCAGGTGACGCTAGCTCTGGGGGTGCTGGAGCTGGAGGTGCTGGCGCAGGTGGCGCTAGCTCTGGGGGTGCTGGAGCTGGAGGTGCTGGTTCTGGGGGTGCTGAGTCTGAGGAGTCTGACCCTGGGTCTGCGGAGTCCACTCCGCCTCCCCACCGCCACGACACACGTCTCCAGGCTGCCCGCCGGCGTGAGCGTGAGGAGCAGGAGCGGTTGGAGAGGGAGCGGCAGGAGCTGCGGGTACTGGACCTCCTGGAGCAGCAGCGGCAGCAGCAGCAGCAGCAGCAGCAGCAGCAGCAGCAGCCGCCGCCGCCACAGCCGCCGCCACAGCTCCCTCTGGAGCGGCAGTTGTTCCCACCTGTGAGTGGCCTGCGGGCCCTTGGCCTTTCCTCCTCTCCTCCTGTGTTTGGTCCTACGTTTCCTCCTCTGGACGCCAGTCCAGCAGTTAGGTCGTTCTCTCCGCCACAGTCTCCTCCTCCTGTAGTCCTAGACAGTCGTGACTTGGTCACCCGTTGTCCCCCGTGTGCTCGTCACTCGTCCCCTGTTACTGACCTCCACACTGCTCTCCTGTGTTCGTCTCGTCGCCGTTCTCCGTCTCCTGTGTCCGTTCTCCCGTCTCCTCCTCTGTCCTCTCTCCCCACCCTCCCCACTTTGATCACTGACTACTACCGCACTGTTCGTCCTGTTGCCTCCCGTGTCCTAGCCACTCTTGTCACCGACTCTCGTTTCCCCCCGTCGTCTGCCTCCGCTCTCACTGCCGCTGTCGCTGAGTTTGCTGCCGCTAGCCGCCTTGACTACGCTACCCGTGTGGTCCCTGCTCCTCCCTACCGTCCTCTGTCCGTCGGGGGTGAGTTTGCCCTTGGCTGTGACGTCCTAGAGGACAGAGAGTCTGAGCTGGAGTACTGGGCAGCCGCTTCTCCTTCTGTCTGTGCCATGCTGCTCTCCCCTGAGGGAGACCCCGACGCCCTGGACATACCGACTCCTCGCACTTACCGCGAGGCTGTGTCAGGGAAGTGGGGCTCTCAGTGGAAAGCGGCTATGGACTCAGAATTGGTGTCTTGGAGATCCACAGGCACTTACGTCGACGCAGTTCCCCCTCCTAGGGCGAACGTAGTCGATGGCATGTGGCTCTTCAAGGTGAAGCGGCCGCCTGGAGCACCTCCGATGTTCAAGGCGCGCTACGTGGCTAGGGGCTTCAGTCAGCGTGAGGGAGTTGACTTCTTCCAGACCTTTGCTCCGACCCCGAAGATGACTACTCTTCGGGTGTTACTTCACATAGCAGCGCAGCGAGACTACGAGCTGCACTCCCTCGACTTCTCCACTGCGTTCCTCCAGGGCCGACTGCACGAGGAGATCTGGCTGCGTCGTCCGCCTGGCTTCACTGACACCTTCCCTCCTGGGACTCAGTGGAGCCTGCGCCGACCAGTCTACGGTCTCCGCCAGTCGCCCCGAGAGTGGCACGACACTCTTCGCTCCACGCTTCGTGACCTTGGTTTCAGACCGTCGACTGCCGACCCTTCACTGTTTTTTCGGGAGGGTTCTACTCCTTTCTTTATACTTGTCTACGTCGACGACTTGGTCTTTGCTACAGCAGACAGGGCAGCGCTGGCTCAGGTGAAGTCGGAACTGCAGAAGAGACACAAGTGCACTGACTTGGGTGAACTGCAGCGCTACCTTGGCCTGCAGATCACCAGGGACAGAGCTGCTCGCACCATCACACTGACGCAGTCACACATGGTGCAGCAGGTCCTTCGGCGGTTCGACTTCCAGTTCTCCACCGCACAGCCCACTCCTCTTGCTGTTGACCACAGACTTACGGGCCCCTTTCCTGACGAGCCCTTCGAGTCCAGTGGTCCTTACGCAGAGCTGGTGGGCTGCCTCATGTACCTGATGACCTGTACTCGGCCGGACCTTGCCTTTCCCCTCAGCATCCTTTCGCGCTTTGTTGCGACTGGGAGACACCGTCCTGTCCACTGGACATCAGCTGTGAGGGTGGCGAAGTACCTGGCGACTACAGCAGGAGTGGGGCTTGTGCTTGGAGGGACTCAGCCAGTGGCGTTGACTGGTCACTGCGACTCTTCCTACGCTGACGACGTGGAGACTCAGCGCTCGACTCAGGGTTACTGCTTCAGTCTGGGAGCTGGTGCTGTGTCGTGGAGGTCTACACGGTCGTCGTCTGTGGCTACTTCCAGCGCAGAGGCAGAGATCTACGCTGGTGCCATGGCGGCACAGGAGCTTCGCTGGTTGACCTTCTTGCTCGCCGACCTTGGTGAGCGGCCTCGCTCTACACCGACCTTGTACGCTGACAACAAGGCCATGATCCTCCTGTGTCGAGAGCCTCGACTGGAGAGCAGAGTGAAGCACATTGACGTGAGGTACTTCCTCCTGCGAGAGCTGCAGCGACGCGGCCAGGCCCGCCTGGACTTTGTGGCCTCAGAGGCCAACACTGCAGACGTCTTCACCAAGGCCTTAGCGCTTGGTGACCACCACAGGTTCTGTGTGCAGTTGGGGCTTGTTGAGGTTGGCCCTAAGTTGCTGTAGTCTTGTTACTTGCTCTGCTTGTTGTGTTTCCTATTTATAATCTAGTGAACCCTTGAACTGGCCTTGTGGCTACTTGCATGTGCTCGGAATTTGTGTGGTGTCCTTGAGATCCACCCTGAGCTTGCCTTGTTTCTTGCATTGACTGGTCTTGTGACCGTGTGCTCGCCTTGCTTGCTTTGATGCCCCTCACTTAGCCTATGGGGGTGTGTCAAATGTTATATTTGTGATAGGCTGTAGTGAGTTGCTCCTTAGGGAGTACAACACTTTGTTAGGTATCCTACTTGTGTGCTTTCACAACGCTAATCCACTCATTCCGCTAAGCTACTTTGAGATATCGCGCATTCACAGTGTGTTGTACCGGAATTTGTTACACCGCGAATGGTACTGGTCTCGTGGATTGAGTTCGCCAAACCAAATCCTTTTATCATCTCGAAATTGTAAGGGGGTGTAACTTTTTTTAACCCGACGGAACGAACCGTGGACCGTACGTCGATGCGAAGGGTTACCATTATCGTTTAATGTCGTGCAGTTTTTCGCGAGGATGTCTGCGACGTCGCTACAAGAACGAACCGTCATGACACTTTTTCCACTTTCCAACGACACGAAACACTGACAACGGACGGTCCGAAACACAAACGGACTGTCCGCTTGTCCGCGCACGCGATTGGCGGGCGAATTTGGATTTCAGCGGACCGCCTTGCAAGAACATTGGAAAATGCGGCTCGGATTCAAAAGTTGACATTGTCCAACCACAACTAGCCTCACTACAATACAAGAAGCCACGACATTGACTCACAACTCACTACACTGCACAATGGATCCCTCTCGCCACCCCACGCCACACACCCAGTCTGACAACACCACTCCCAACTCCCATCCACCGGGATCTACCAATACTACCACTCCTGCCACAGCTGCTCCCGAAACACAAGAGTCCCAGATACGGGATCGGACCAACACGCTGACAGCTCCTTCTACCACTCCCTCCGTCACCCCTTCAAACTACTGGGTTTACCAAATCCCCTCCCCTTCTGCCTCCTACGACGCCGACGATGACTATGGACTCGGTGCCGCATTTGAGGACAACGCCGCGCCAGGAGAGGTTGAAGAGGAACCCACCGCGCAACCAACGGAGCCAAGTACCACCACTGCCGCTGCTTCTCGCCACTCAACTGCCAGAAACTCGCCACGCTGGACCGCTGAGGAGGAGTGCGAGGTGCTGGCCACGTTCATCGTTCTCGACCCGCAGATCCGCGCACGCACCGGGCAGCAGGGAAGGTCCTGGTACCCCTTAGTCCAGCGGGATATCCTTGAGCGCAACCCGACGTGGCGGCATGACCAGGGGGCACTCAAGGCGAAGTTCAACCGCCTAAAGGCGGAGTGGCGTCGCATCAACGACCGTATAAGGCGATCTGGGGAGGGACGCGTCACAAACCTGCCGCCTTGGTACCATCTGGCCGAGCGCCTCTGGGGTGAGCGCCCAAGCACCATACCCCCTGTCCTTGCAGGTACCGGCATCGCTCCCGCCCGCATGGCGACGGCGCGTCCAGCTCCCCCGGCCGCCAACAACACCCGCGCCACACCGACGGTGGCTACGCCTCAATCGCCGACTTCAAGCCCTTCGTAGACTGCTGCCGCACGGCGCGTCACCGCTCCCCGCCCTCCCGCTCCCGTCTCGCCATATATCCCACCCGTCGTACCCACGCCGTCCCCCACCACCAGCTGCATTACCGAGCCTGCCTCTCCCAGTCGTGAAGCCGGCGCCGTCGCTCCGTCTCGTCCCTCCCCCGAGACTCCACTCTCGTCAGACACTATCGCTCCGAGCAACGGCGGCTCCCCAAGCGGCGCAACGGTCCCGTCAGGTTCGACGACGGGTATCTCTATCCGCGGTCGGCGCATCACTTGGGGAGCGCGCCCTACGTCTGATGGCGGGGAGGGGAGTTCAAAGAATGCGTGGTGGCAGTACCCACGCAAGCAAGACGGCGAGAATGATGGCAAAAAGAAGAATGCTGTAAAACGCGGTGTTGGCCGCAAAGCAGTCGACACGAAGAAACCGTCAAGCACTGCCGAGTTGATAGGGGAACTACGGGAGCATTTTGACAAACGGCAGGATTCGAAGTGGGAGGAATTCAAGTCACTAACCCGGGAGGTGTTTCGCGGGTACGCGGATGAGCGGCGCAGTAGGAGGCGTAGATCGCCGCAGTCCACCTCTTCATCCGAAGACGAGGCGTGAAACCGCGCACCTCAGGGCCGGTAAGTCGAAGAGTAGCCGCGGGCCCCTCGAGCCACCATCGGTAGCGCTCTGGCGGTGTGCCCAGGCGATCCCTGCTGCCGATCGTCAGTTCGATGTTGTGAAGTGCCACACATGCACTCACCACCTGCGGCACCCTCTCACTGTGGCACTCCATCCGGCTGTCGAGTATGCGCCACTTGCCTTTGAGCCGCCCGTTGACTTGTTCGACTTTCATACGCTGACGCGATTGTTGTGTATTCCACTTGTCTTTTGCACGTGGCAGAGACCGTCCGGGAGTAGCGCGCCAAGGCACACAAGTGTAGCTTGTGAGAGCGTATGCAGCGTCCGTGACTAACATGTAGTTCCCCAACTCGCCAGCCTCTAAGCGCTGTTTGAGCGGGGAGTTAGTAAACACCCGGGAGTCGTTGACGCTTCCGGGGTATCCCGCATTGTAGTCCCAGATGATTCCGTTAGAGTCACAAGCTATCTGTAGGATTATGGAGTAAAAACCCTTCCTGTTTTTGAAATCCTCCTTGTCTCTCCCGAAGCCACGACACTTAATATAAGTCCCATCTAGAGCTCCTATGACGCCTGGAATACCGCCCTCGTACCGGAACTCTTCGGCGATCGCTGTCATCTGCTCGGCGGAAGGGTGAGAATCCCAGAGAGGGAGTAGTTCGTCCACTATGAACGCCATAAAGCCCTGCACAATCCTCTGCGCATGTTGCGGCACGACCCCAAACTGCAGGCCGAGCTGGCGGAACGTTGCGCATGTGCCTAGATAAACTAGCGTCATTGCGACGCACAATTGTACAGGTATCACGCGCTGGCGGTCACAGATCCTACTGTGCAAAGCGTCTACCAAGTAGTCGAAAACAGCACGGTTAACGCGGAAAGTGTCAATGAAAATCCGACGAGGCATTCCACTAAGAAGAAAATCCCACCTCTCCCTCTGACTCTCACGGTCCCGTTGCATGATGTTGCGGTCCTCGTCATCGAGCAATATGATAATCTCTGCAATGTAGTCGACCCCTGGTCCGACAATGAACTGTTGGTACTCTCTATACAAGAGGTGTAGTACGGATAGTAGGTGGCGGCGAGACATATTTTTGTGCAGAGAGATGTCTCTGATATAGATAGAGGGTTGTGGCGACCCTTTGACTGCGAAGAGGTTGGTGTCGACGGCCTCGGATGTTGTTTGGAATTTTCAATTGTATGTCCGAAGCGCTGAACTCCACAGGCGAAAATTGCGAAGGGTTGTGACTGGCGTTACTAGTGTACATTTGAGATGGCGAAAGGAATACCATCGCGGAACCCTAGCATGTGGAAAAATTGTCACATATGCATTCGTACCGTCCGAAGTTGCAAACACTCAAATCGGACGGTCCGTTTCGTTATAAACGTACGGTCCGATTCCATATAATCGGACGGTACGTCAAAATAATAAAATGCAAAAAAGTTACACGCTCTAAAGCACCGGACTGCATTATGTCTTGGAGCTCGAATTCGCAGATGCAGTTATGGGAGGGGGGTTTCAGCAAGTGACCTGGATTGGATTAGTTTTGGAGACTTCCACCTCGCCAGCGTGGCAATTCGACCTCGGTCTGGCCATCTTTCTCGACTTTCTTGGCCCCAGTCTATTCCACGTGTCAGATCGAATTTTTCCAGGGGTGTCCATGCCCTCTGCTTTTCCGAGCGTGGCAATATCCACCACGTGTACCATCGTCAAGCCACGAAGGTGCAGCACTCGAGACCAGCTTCAGCACAGGCAGGAACTCGCGAAACCGTCAGCAATTCCGTCCGTTTTCAGGAACTCCGTCAGCTTGTCCGTCAATCTTTGGTTGAGCTTGAATACTCCTCCAACGAAAGACATTGGCGTTTCAAGGCAAGACGCATTCTAGTTTCTTGTCTGGTCACGCATATTCTAGGGTGTTCCATCCAATCTTACTCCAAATACCGTCCGGAGACCGTATTTTAGTAACTATTTAGCAATGGCTGCCATTCTCGCGGTCTCCGCCGGTGTTTCTTCCGCTGTCGCCTTCAGGCGCAGCTCTTTCGTCCAGACCGCCTCCCTGAAGTCCTCCTCGCTCTCTGTCCGCAGCGTCCGTTCTGTCCGCATTGTCGCCATGGCTCAGCCTGAAGCCAAGGAGGCTGAGGAGAAGAAGGCTGCGGAGGAGAAGGCCAAGGCAGAGGAGGCTGCTGCTGCTGCTGCTGAGAAGACTGAGGAGAAGAAGGAAGCATACACGGACCCTCTTGACGCGTTCTGCGACGACAACCCCGCTGCTGACGAGTGCAGGATTTATGAGGATTAAGCTATTTTGCTGAGTCGCAGTAATCGTCGCATGCTCTGTCGCAGCAGGCTAGATTTGAGTCTTGTATATCAATTGTTTGCACATAGGCGGATTGCTGGAGCGGATGTGGCTGCCGCGGTTTGCCCTCCCTAGGAATATCCCTTGTTCTGATTTGACGAAGTGGACTATTCCTTGCTATTTCAGCGTATCCCCCGTTCCTTTGCCAAGTCACATGGCAGTGGAGGGTGTGGGCTGAGTGCTTGGGAAATTTGAGCTGGCTCCAAGCAATGTTGTGCAAATGTCCCTTTTCCTCATGGCCAGTCAGGAGAAATCATACTGACTGAATTGTGGGAAAAAACAACAATAGGAATCCGAGGTCAACCAAGCAATGGATGCTGTGCCGCCAATCTAGTCACCGTCAGCTTGCCGCACATTCCGCCTCCTTACCATGGAACCCCCTGAAGAGCCTGACACGCCAGCTCCTTTCTGCCGTCTCCCTGCCAGTTCAATCAGCTCTTGCCGCACTGCATCCAACTCCTCAGAACCCACAGCAACATTACTAACACTCTTATGTGCTGTCTGGGTCCCTTGGCTAGAAGCCCGCCCTACAGTTAGTGATGGCACTGACACTCCATGCTTTCTAGCAGCCTTCTTGCTGCGTTGCTTAGCTTGTTTCTCCTCGAGCTGCGTCGTACGGATTATGAAGAGTGTGGTTTCTAGCAGCATGCCGAATATCAAACCCACTGCACCTCCCACTGGGTGCTGCCATGTGAGAGCGAAATAGGAACGCAGGGGGCAGGAAACAAGGAGGTTGAGTCAGGGTGTTTTTGCATGCACCTCTTACGACATGCTACCATATGGGGGGGGGGGGGGGGAGGGGAAGAGGGCATGGTGGTTGAAAAGGCACTCTGAACACGTGAAGTACACTCAAAGAACCTGATCAATATCATACCCACCATCACTGAGGAAGGATTGATTCTGGTCCAGACTGCCATAGCCCACAGCATGATGCTTATCAAGAGAGCTTACTAGGGGAGCTTACCAAGGGAGCTTACCAAGGGAGCTTGCCAAGGGAGCTTACCAAGGGAGCACCAAGGGAGCACCAAGGGAGCTTGCCAAGGGAGCTTACCAAGGGAGCTTACCAAGGGAGCTTACCAAGGGAGCTTACCAAGGGAGCTTGCCTAGGAAATTACCAGGGGAGCTTACCAAGGGAGCTTACTAGTGGGCTCACCAGGGCAGGTTGGTCTTTGATAAGAGCAGAAGCAGCGAAGTGACCCAAGAGGTAACAGGTGAACATCACACCCACCACATGCATGCCTGCTCGGAATGGAATGAAGAAAAGATGACCGAAAATTCAAACAAAAAGGAGGTGTGTATGCAGGGAGGGCTTCAAGGGAAAGCAGCTCGGGACGGGGATGAAGGAAAAACGAAGGAAATAAATAAAATCAGATAAAGGCAAGAAAGGATGCCACGAATTCTTTCAACGCAATCGTTTAGGAGACTCAGCCTAAAACGCCCACCAAAACCACAAAACTCAAGTCTCAGCAGAGCTGGCCGAACGTGACAGTGGCAAATAGTGAAATTTGCGTCGGCTCAAACGTCATCATGAAACTCATTGTTGACCAAAACCGCCAGCCAATGGCAGCAGTGGCAAGCAAATTTAGAGGTGCCAAAAAAAAAAAAGACCGAAACTTCCAGACAACGGGAGCAGTGGCAGGCAATGAATGTGCCGCTTCATAGGAACCGACAGTAAAACAATCTGGAAAAAAAAAAAGGAAAATGAACTTACCGAACCCGAGCTGCTCTCTGTACGAAGCCAGGTACGAGCTTCCCCCCTGCCCTCCGAAGTCCTCCTCATCATCAACACCACCACCTGCGCCTCTCCCTTTTGCTCCCTTGGGATCCACATCTCTCACGAGCTCTCTATACCGCCTCTGTTCCTCCGCTTCCTTGAGAGCAGCCAGACGAGCTTCCAGCTCCGCACTCTGTGAGATGATAAGTGGAGGTAAGGGAGAAAGGGAAGTGGTGATAGAAAGCTCTCTGTACCACCTCTGCTCCTTTTCTTCCTTGAGAGCAGCCAGACGAGCTTCCAGCTCCGCACCCTGAAGGACAACAGAGGGAAGGGGTGCCGAAACAAGAGGAGAGCGGGAAGATTCAATTGAGAGCTATTCGCGAAGATGAAGTGAGGAACACACAAGATGGACTCTAAACAGGAGAAAGGTGAAAAAAAGAGAATAAACAACGAGCTCTGAGCTGTCAATCCGAGCCAAGATTGTATGTCCGGCCGTACCTTCTTCGGAGGCTCGGGTGGAGCAGGTAGCAACACCTGGCAGCCCTGCAGCACCTCGTGCAGAAGCCAATCAGGGCGCTTGTAGCTGCTCGCAGCGCCGTTGCTTGCACTGCCATTGCTCCTCCCGTTTCCGCTGCACCTGGCAGCACTGCCGTTGCTACTCGCAGTATCGTTACTCGTGTTGCCAGTGCTGCTCGCAGTGCCTTGAGAAGTAACGCCTGAGGCTTCCTCCCGTGCTTCTGACTCGTTCACTTCGCTCGTCTCGCAGCTGTCGCTCGGCGAAATCTGACCCGTCCTTGTGTTACCACTCTCTTCGCTCTGGTCGCTGCGGTCGCTGCGATCCAACCCGTGCCGCTCCCGTAAAGAGGACCACGCGGCGCGGACCACGGCGTACGGAATCGCATCGCCGTCTGCTGTGGATGCGTACTGTTTGAACTTCGCCGGCAGTTCTGACGGCGCGGAAATATTCTGATCGCCAGAATCGCCGGCAGCCGTCCGATCCACGATCTGAGATGAAGAAAGGGCTCCCCTAGTCTCTAGCGCGGCGTTTAACATATTTCTGAGATTAGGCGTGGACGAGAGGTGTAGGCAAGGTGACGCCATTGCCAGCGGCTTTACAGCAACAAAAAAACTCACGGTCGGAGAAAGGTACGAAAGACGCGAGCAGGCGAGCCGGCGAAAAGGACGGCGTTGGTGATAAAAATATGAATGAAATAGTACACGGTGATTAAACTAAAGCGATCTGAGAATCTCCTAAGAAAAATCTGCCTCGTGAAGCAGAGGTGCAAGCAGCAGGGAAGAGAGCAGCTGAAGGCGAGAGTAGTGTGAAGGTGGAAGCCAGGCCTGTCGATTCACGGGCATTTGCCCGTTTGTCCTGAGAATTCAGGGCTGGGTTTGGCGCACCTCAGAGATTTTAAGGGTTAGTTCGCGAGGAAGCCCGTAAGGAAAACGGACTGGTTTTGCCCTTGGCCGGACCCTAACGGACTGGTTTTGGGCCTTGCCCGGATTTCCGTGTATGTCCCCCCCCCCTCCTTTCCGGAACCAGCTTCCCCTTGGAGTTTCTTGACCCCTATCCGCGAATCCGCCTCAAACACATTTAGTTGAAACTTCGTAGTTCTTGTAAGCGGGTGTATTGCTGGCTGCAAATACACTAGGTCTGAAGTCAGCCCTGATTCTTACTGGCCAGCCCTGATTCTTACTGGCCAGCCCTGATTCTTACGGGCCAAAATCAGCCCCTACCCGGATCCTTCCGGGCTGGTTTTGGGCCAGCTCAACTTCTTAAGGGTTGGGTTTAGAGTAAGCGACAGGCCTGGTGGAAGCATAATTTTTACAACAAACGCCATGTACCGTGTTTTACCACATTTTAACGTTATCAAACGTACTTAACCTCTCGTTACGTATCAAATTTCGATCCAGTTGCAACTCGGGGTGTGTTTTCATTGTAGATTTGGTGATGAAAGGTCAGATAAGACCCTACAATCTTATTTTTTCAAGTGCAGGTTTTGAGAGCAAAGATGTGCAAGACAGGTGCGTACTCAGGGACCTACCCTGAGACTCATACTTCTGAATGCGTCTGAATGCGCCCGACAGGTGGAAACACGACCTGATTACCTGGGCTCCATGGCACGCGCTTCTTTATTCAGTTTCCGAGTCTTACGCACACGAGCAGGTTGTTTGCTGAGTAAAGGCATAGGCTCCGTGTTCTGCGGCCGAGATGTTTAGCAACCTGCTTAGACCACCCACTTCGGAGCCTTAGCACCGCCTAATAGTCCCATATTTTTGTTACCAGCGCGTCTTATATCGCGTGTTGTCTATTCCTCCACGCGTCGCCCTTCTGCGTGCGGGGTTTCTCTTGCTGAGCGATGGCTGGAGCGCCACTAGGCGTGTGCCACGTAAGCCACACGGATATGATGAACCGGGTCGCGCCTTCAGGCTCTGCGTTACCCCGACGCGTACTTAATAGCCTTAATAGATACACGAGACAGGCAATGCCGGCATTATCGGCCACAAATTTAGGACTAATTACGCAATCTATTACTAGCCTCAGCAGCTGGTCGTCCGCGATAGAAGCTTCCTCCGTACCCTCGATAGGACCTCCCGCGAGTCCCTTGCTATCTCGTCACAACCCGTTACAGAGATTTCTGTTGCCCTCGCGTCCGAGGAAACATGCCACGTGGCAGCAGGTCGTTGGACTGCAAACACAGCGACCTTGGGGAGATACGGGTTCGGGATTCAAGGGGGCGAGCGCAGTGGGGGGTTACCCCACGTCAGGTTACCACTCGAGGGGTTACCACATAGCAGGCCTTTCTGCTAATAAGAATAGACCGATCGGAAGCCGCAGGAGTACCGTGGTTGATGCTGCTGACGTGGCAGGGGAGAATTCTGAGACGTCTCAGAGTGCTGGTGATGTTGCTGATAGGGCAAAGGGGAAGGGGCAAGAGGTGCCGAGTGGGATGAGTGACCCGGGTTCGAACCCCAATGGCGGAAATATTGTGATTCTCGGGATTGAGACGAGTTGTGACGACACAGGGGCTGCTGTGGTGAGTGAGTGTGACAGGACACAGGAGAACAATTGTCTGTGGCTCCTAGATTGGTCCCTGGTTCGAATCCCCGTGTTGGCATCAATGTGTTTTTTGGAATCTAAATAATCTGAGCTTACACGTGAGTGAGTGTCATTGGAGAACCGGAGAGATTATCTATGGCGATTTTGGGTCGTGATCAACAGAGTTTTTTGGCCCTTGCCTGCCTCATTGCTCCCAAATAAGCTTCGGCTCCTTGCCTGCTGAAGGTTTCGACCGAGTTTAGTTTCAGGGAGCCTAAGCCAATCGCGCGTCTCCACTCACCCCCTGCTTGCCTGCTGCAGTAGGTCACATCTGATGGGCGAATTTTGGGGGAAGCCCTCGCGTCAAGTTTGTTTGGCCTTAATATATTATATCTCTCCTTAATGAACCTTCTTCACTCATCCCTTTCTTTCCTGCTGCAGGTCACATCCGATGGGCGTATTCTGGGGGAGGCCCTCGCATCACATCACAGGTTCACAGACAGGTAACAGAGCCATGTAGACTCACCTTTTCTCTCTTCTTTTCTTCACCCCATGCCTGCCTGCCTGCTGCAGGTCACATCCGATGGGCGTATTCTGGGGGAGGCCCTCGCATCACAGGTAACAGAGCGATGTGGAGCCTTGCAGTGCCATGTTGATCCTTTTAGAGCCATGCCATGCCATGCCATGCCATGCCATGCCATGCCATGCAGTGTGGAGCATAGACCACTTGGTATTGTGTGATACTTTATAAACCCATACGCCTTTGCACGGATTATGTCCCCTTTTTCCCATCCCTATTCCCTCTTTCCTTCCCCCCTCCCTACGCCGCTCCCCCCCTCCCCCTTTTCCTCCTTCCCGATTCCCATTGACAGGGCAAGGTGCACGCGGAATGGGGGGGAGTGGTGCCATCATTGGCACGTGGAGAGCATGAAAAGGCAATAGACCTGGTATTCTTCTTAATTTTAGTGCCCGTCCTAGCAGTTGAAATATAATTGTTGCTTTCAGCTATCTTTTCTTTCTTTTCTTTTCTTTCATGAAACACATGTCATATTTATAATCGTTGGCACTGATCCTTTGTGACTGGCTTGGCTTCCTTTCCTCCATTCATGCGCGTCACTCCCTTGCATGCATGCACCACCCTTTTGTTACCTTGTCACCATATCCCCTCCACTTGCTTTCCATCTCGCATCATATATTAATTTGAGACTATGAAGTATATAATCATCCTCTTGTTTCTTCCTGTTCCCATTCGCTCGCCCAGGTAGTTCAAGCAGCTTTGGATGAGGCTGGCTTACAGCCGTCGGATCTCTCTGCAGTAGCGGTCACGATTGGCCCAGGGCTCAGCCTGTGCTTGAGAGGTGGGTCTCTGCTCCATCACTCACTGCCGTCACCTCAGCATCCTTCCTTTTCTCTCCCACGTTTCTCCTCTTTTGATTTTTCATCTTATCCGTTATGATTTTCTCATCGTTGAGCCACTGTGTGCATGCATGCATCCATGCATGAATGATTGTGTTTTTTCTTCATGGCAGTGGGAGTGATGAAGGCCAGGAGGATGGCTTCACAGCATGGCATCCCCATCATCCCCATCCACCACATGGAAGCACACGCGCTGGTGGCAAGGTGGGTTATTTTACATGCTCCCCATCATCCCCATTATCCCCATTATCCCCATTATCCCCATCATCCCCATCATCCCCATCATCTCCATCCACCACATGGAAGCACACGCGCTGGTGGGCAGGTGAGATGCGAAATGTACCTACCTTCCTGCCTTGCCTACCTGCTCTCATATGAGGGCAGCACTGCATGGCCTGCTCACCATCCCCACCATCCCCATCCACCACATGGAAGCACACGCGCTAGTGGCCAGGTGGGTGTTGTTTCTCCTGTATACATCGTTCCTATCCTATCGACATGCCTACATATGGTATCCCCCCATCACCCCCATCACCCCATCACCCCATCACTCCCCCCATCACCCCATCACCCCCATCACCCCATCACCCCATCACCCCCCCCATCACCCCATCACCCCCATCACCCCCATCACCCGATCACCCCCCCCATCACCCCATCACCCCCATCACCCTCATCACCCCCATCACCCCCATCACCCCCATCATCCCCATCACCCCCATCACCCCCATCATCCCCATCATCCCCATCACCCCCATCACCCCGATCACCCCTATCATCCCCATCACCCCCATCACCATCCCCATCACCCCCATCACCCCCATCACCCCCATCACCCTCATCACCCCCATCACCCCGATCACCCCTATCACCCCCATCACCCCCATCACCCCCATCACCCCCATCACCCCCATCACCCCCATCACCCCCATCATCCCCATCTCCCCCATCACCCCCATCATCCCCATCACCCCCATCACCCCCATCACCCCCATCATCCCCATCACCCCCATCACCCCCATCACCCCTATCACCCCCATCACCCCCATCACCCTTATCACCCCCACCACCCCCATCACCCCCATCACCCCCATCACATCACATCACCCCCATCACCCCCCCCATCACCCCCATCATCCACACCAAAGACGAGCTCCCCTTTTTTCCCTTGTTTGACCAGGTTTCATAGGACTCATGTTTCAAGGGTTACTTTTTCATGAGCACAGGTCCGAGGTTTCATAGGACTCGTGTTTCCGCTCCCCATGTGTGACTCATAAGATTCCTACGTCAATGAAATTTCTCAATTGCCATACATTCCTTGTCTGACCAAGTTTCCCGGTTTTCAACCCCTTCCCCTCCTTTCCAGGCTGACCAATCCTGATGCCACCTTTCCATTCCTCACGCTTTTGACATTAGGAGGTGCAGTGCAAAGATGTCTACATCATTCCCACAAGCGTACCTGTGGGGGTGTGGCGCTCCTGCAAAGATGCGCATCTATCGTAAATTTCTGTCCTTTTTGCTCCCCCCTCCCCCCCTCCCCCTCCCTCTCTCTCCTCCCCCTTCCTCCAGGCTTACCAATCCTGATGTCACCTTCCCATTTCTCACGCTTTTGATATCAGGTGCAGTGGGGTGTGGTGCTCGTGCAAAGATGCGCATCTAACGTAAATTTCTGTCCTTTATGCTCCCCCCCCCCTCCCCCTCTTCCAGGCTGACGAATCCTGATGTCACCTTTCCATTCCTCACGCTTTTGATATCAGGTGCGGCGCTAGGCTCGCTACTTTAAAGGTGTGCTTTTTAAAGCTTATACTCGTTACTAGGCTTGCTGACACAAAAGGATTTCGTTGCCTGACTTGCCATTCTGCGAATTCTCAAAAGCTTCCCTTTCTGCCTTGAAGTCCAGTAGAGCCAGACTCAAAGTCCTTCTTATAATCACAAACTTCTGTTATTGTCACATGTTCTCCCCCCCCTCCCCCTCCTTCCCCCCATTCCCCACCTAGGCGGGCACAACCTTTTGTTATTGTCACATGGGGTGGGGCAGTACACTCAGCTGGGAACCACGCTAGACGACGCCATGGGTGAGGTGAGGTGGCGTGCGGTGGGATGCGGTGCGGTTGGGAACTTGGGATGGGGGGGGGTCATGGCTTGGGGTGGGGAACTACATTCAGCTGGGAACAATACTGGACGATGCCATGGGTGACGTGAGGTTGAGTGCGGTGGGGCACGGCGCAGTGAGATGGGGAGGGTTGGGGTGAGGGGTGGTAGAATGGATGGGTTGAGGGGGTGAGTGAGTGGTGGTTTTCCCTGGCGAGGGAAAACTGAGAAAGGTGTTGTTTTTTAGATAGAACAAGGGGGGGGGGGGGGGGGGGGGGGGCTGGCCTGTGATCTGCTTATTCCCTGGGTGAAGTAAAAAAGAACAACACTATTCCCAGGGCACTGGGGAACAAGGTATGCCCAGTGCTGCTCTGTGCCACGTGTCTGAATGGGAGAGGCAACAGCTGAAGCGCAGGCGTTTCTCTTTACCCCCTGCTCCCCCCTTCCCCTGTTCCCCTTTTCCCCTTCCCGTCTTCCCCTGTACACACTCTCCCTTCATCCCCTTGATCCCCAACCACCTATACCCACCTCTCCCCCCAGGCGTTTGACAAGACAGCACGTCTGCTAGGTCTGGACTTGTCGGGGCCGGGAGGCGGAGGGGCAGCAGTTGAAGCGCTGGCAAAGGAAGGAAACCGAGAGAAGTTCAAGTTCACTGTAAGCAAACAGAAGAAGTTCTTTGTTAGGAGGTGGAGGGGCAGCAGTTGAGGCACTGGCAGGAGAAGGAAACAGAGATAGATTCAAGTTCACTGTAAGAGAAATTGCTGCTCGCTCTAAATGATTGCTTCTTTAAATGAATGCTGGTTTATTGGCAGACTGTTGTGTTTTCTAGTAGCAGTTGATTTTCCCCTCACGACACGTCTCTCCACTCCACACCTCTTCCCCTCTCATCATCCAGGTGCCGCTAGCGCGTGTCAAGAGCTGCGACTTCCCCGTTTCAGCCCTCTCTAACCCAACGTGGCATACCCGCCTTGCCTGTTTTCCCTCGCAATTTTCATCTCCCATGCATCTCTCCTCCCCTCTCATTCATCCAGGTGCCGCTAGCGCGTGTCAGGAGCTGCGACGTTTCCTTCTCGGGACTTAAAGCCCATGTGGCTCGCTGCATGTGTCCCCTCCCCCTTGCCTTAGCTTTTCCCTCCCCCCTCCTCAACCATCCAGGTGCCACTAGCGCGTGTCAAGAGCTGCGACTTTTCCTTCTCGGGACTTAAAGCCAATGTGGCTCGCTGCATGTGTCCCCTCCCCCTTGCCTTAGCTTTTCCCTCCCCCCTCCTCAACCATCCAGGTGCCACTAGCGCGTGTCAAGAGCTGCGACTTTTCCTTCTTGGGACTTAAAGCCAATGTGGCTCGCACATTGCACGTTTCCCCTGTCCATGCTTCCTCACATTCTTCTCCTTCCTCTCTCCTCATCCCCACCCATTCAGGTGCCTCTAGCGCGTGTCAAGAGCTGCGACTTTTCCTTCTCGGGACTTAAAGCCAACGTGGCTCGCTGCATACAGAAGGAGGCCCCGTAAGGCCTTGTGAGGAGGGTGGGGAGGGGGGAGAGGGGTGGGGGAGGGTGGAAATGGGCGGAAAGGGTGTGCATCTTGTGCTGTCTCAAGGTGAACGAGGCACGCTGCATACAGGAGGCCCCGTAAGGTGTTTGTTTTGAGGGGTGGAAGGGGATGGAAAAGGGTGGGAAAGGGGGGGGGAGGTGTCTTGTGCTGTCTCAAGGTGAACGAGGCACGCTGCATACAGAAGGAGGCCCCGTAAGGCCTTGTGAGGAGGGTGATGGGGGTAAAGGGGTGGAAATGGGTGGAAATGTGTGGGAAAGGGTGTGTGTCCCGAGTTGACTTAACCTTCCATAGTTTCGCCAGACCTATAGGCCAGACACCTGATGTAAATTGTTCCGTACCTCTCTTGCCGAACCTGATTCCTCGTTAACCCCCAGGGCAGCTCAAACCATCCCTATTGCCGAAGCAACGCCGGAGGACTGGCAGTTACGAGCCGACATTGCTGCCTCTTTCCAGGTAACTTCCTTCCCATAGCACCACTCTTCTCCCCATTAAAGCTGTCTGCGCTGCAACATTTTCTCAGGTTACCCTGTCATATCCGATCAGTTTTTTTTTTTTGTTTTTTTCGATCGACTAAAAAAAAAATATCCCAATGCTTCTCCTTTATTTTCAATAACGATGTGTGTTGCCCAAATCCGGCGGCTGTTATGCCACTCAAATCTCTTCCCCTCCTTCCTCCCTTCGCCCATGTTATTCCCAATCAGGAGGTGGCAGTGTTGCATCTGCAGTCGCGGGTGCAGAGAGCCATTCAGGTGGCGAGGGAATCAGCTCCTGCGATTGACACACTGGTGAGTCAGAGGGAGAGGGAGAGGGAGAGGGAGAGGGAGAGGGAGAGAGGGAGAGGGAGAGGGAGAGGGAGAGGGAGAGGGAGAGGGAGAGGGAGAGGGAGAGGAAGAGGGAGAGGAAGAGGGAGAGGGAGAGGAAGAGGGAGAGGGAGAGCATTTCTAGGAGGAGTTGTGTTGCGTCATGGACCATGGTTGGTATACAGGAGGTGGCAGTGCTGCATCTGCAGTCGCGGGTGCAGAGAGCCATTCAGGTGGCGAGGGAATCAGCTCCTGCGATTGACACACTGGTGAGTTGGTTTTTGAGAATTCTCAGAAACAAAACGTTCTTGGGTTGTCCCAGACCAGGAGGGAGTGTGGGTTGTTAAGCTCTTGTGTGGCTGCTATTCGTGGGTTGTTAAGCTCTTGTGTGGCTGCTATTTGTGGGTTGTTAAGCTCTTGTGTGGCTGCTATTCGTGGGTTGTTAAGCTCTTGTGTGGCTGCTATTCGTGGGTTGTTAAGCTCTTGTGTGGCTGCTATTCGTGGGTTGTTAAGCTCTTGTGTGGCTGCTATTCGTGGGTTGTTAAGCTCTTGTGTGGCTGCTATTCGTGGGTTGTTAAGCTCTTGTGTGGCTGCTATTCGTGGGTTGTTAAGCTCTTGTGTGGCTGCTATTCGTGGGTTGTTAAGCTCTTGTGTGGGCTGCTATTCCCCCTCCCCACCCACCTCCACCCCAACCCTTCCCCCTTCCGCTGCCACCGATCAGGTGATGGCAGGAGGAGTGGCGTCTAATCAAGTCGTCCGCTCGCGAATTGCAGCAGTCTGCAAGCAGGCAGGAATGAGGCGGGTGTGCCCTCCGCTCTGCCTGTTCATTCCTCCCTTCTCGGGCTTTCTTTGCTCTCTCCCCCCCCCCCCCCCCCGCCCCTCCCCCTCACCTCCCTATCGATCCGGTGATGGCAGGAGGAGTGGCGTCTAATCAAGACGTCCGCATGCGAATTGCAGCAGTCTGTGAGCAGGCAGGAATGAGGCTGGTGTGAACCGTCTTCCCACTGCCATGCCCGCCTATCCCCACCTCCCCGCCCACCAACAACCAGGTGATGGCAGGAGGAGTGGCGTCTAATCAAGTCGTCCGCACGCGGATTGCAGCTGTCTGCGAGCAGGCAGGAGTGAGGCTGGTGTGCCCTCCGCCCCGCCTCTGCACTGATAATGGTGAGTGGTGGTGGCTGTGAGGGGAGGAATGGATGGGTATTTGGGGGACTCAGGAGGCGAGCAGGCAGGAGTGAGGCTGGTGTGCCCTCCGCCCCGCCTCTGCACTGATAATGGTGAGTGGTGGTGGTTGTGAGGGGGGGAATGGATGGGTATTTGGGCGACTCAGGAGGCGAGCAGGCAGGAGTGAGGCTGGTGTGCCCTCCGCCCCGCCTCTGCACTGATAATGGTGAGTGGTGGTGGCTGTGAGGGGAGGAATGGATGGGTATTTGGGCGACTCAGGAGGCGAGCAGGCAGGAGTGAGGCTGGTGTGCCCTCCGCCCCGCCTCTGCACTGATAATGGTGAGTGGTGGTGGCTGTGAGGGGAGGAATGGATGGGTATTTGGGCGACTCAGGAGGCGAGCAGGCAGGAGTGAGGCTGGTGTGCCCTCCGCCCCGCCTCTGCACTGATAATGGTGAGCGGCGGTGGCTGTGAGGGGAGGAATGGATGGGTATTTGGGCGACTCAGGAGGCGAGCAGGCAGGAGTGAGGCTGGTGTGCCCTCCGACCCGCCTCTGCACCGACAATGGTGAGCGGCGGTGGCTGTGAGGGGAGGGAGGGGAAGGAGAGGGGGGCACAGTTCGTGAAGGAGAGGGGGGAAACTAGACATCTAAAAAGCGGGATAGAGGAGTCTGAAGGGCGGGATGAGGACCCTTCGCCAGCTGTAGTCAAATTGCTTTTGATTCAATTCAAGTGCAGACGAGATGGCTGATTATGTGTGATGAGACATTTTTTTAGTCGACTCAAAAGTCACTGCGTGTGATGAGACAATTTTTTAGTCGACTCAAAAGTCACTGCGTGTGATGAGACAATTTTTTAGTCGACTTAAAAGTCGTCTCGACTCAAATGCAGACACGCTGGCTGATGATGCGTGCGTCCCCCTTTCCCCCATCTCCTCTCCTCTCCCCATTTCCCCATTCCACGGCTCTCCTGACCCTATTTCCTCTCTCGTCCTCCCCCCAGGAGTCATGGTGGCATGGGCAGGGTATGAGCACTTCAAACTGTGGATCATGGTGACTCTGCTAGCTTCCTCCTATCCCCATCCCTCCCACCCCCCGTTCCCATTCCTGCTTCCCCATGACCCCTCGCCTGTCCCTCCCTCTCCCTTCCAGGGGTCATGGTGGCATGGGCGGGATATGAGCGGTTCAGACTGGGAATCATGGAGCCTCCGCCTGCTGTAGAGGAATCGGATGATGACGCTTATGTAAGTGTCTTTTGAGTCGACTCAGAAGTCACCTCGAATTGGATGACGACACTTGTGTAAGTGTCTTTTTGAGAATACTATTGGCCTTTGTAGGGACCAAAATGTCTTTTGAGAATACTATTGGCCTTTATCGGGACCAAAATGTCTTTTGAGAATACTATTGGCCTTTATCGGGACCAAAATGTCTTTTGAGAATACTATTGGCCTTTATCGGGACCAAAATGTCTTTTGAGAATACTATTGGCCTTTATCGGGACCAAAATGTCTTTTGAGAATATTATTGGCCTTTATCGGGACCAAAATGTCTTTTGAGAATACTATTGGTGCCTTCCTTTCCTTGTCATGCACCATCCCATCCACACTTTTGAGTCGACTCAAAAGTCAATCTTACCTTTTCTTTTCTGCCTTCATTTCCTTGCCATGCCACATCCCATCCATACCTCACCACGTCGAGCTCAGGCCCCGCTGGCCACTGGCAGACCCGTGCTAAGCTTCCGAAAAGTTCTCTTTCCTCTCTTCCCCCAACTCACCTCTCTCTGTTGCCATGCACCATCCCATCCATACACCATCAGGTGGAGCTCAGACCGCGCTGGCCACTGGCAGACCCGCCATTCTCCCTCCCCCTCACACTCAGTCAGTCATCCTCTTTCCTCTTGTCCCCCACTCCCATCCCATCCATACCCCATCAGGTGGAGTTCAGACCGCGCTGGCCACTTGCAGACCCGCCATTCTCCCTCCCCCTCACACTCAGTCAGTCATCCTCTTTCCTCTTGTCCCCCACTCCCACCCCATCCAAACACCATCAGGTGGAACTCAGACCGCGCTGGCCACTGGCAGACCCGCCATCCTCCCCCTCCCGCTCCTCCAAGCAAAAGCGCCTCTTCCCTTCCCTCTCCTCCTCCTCCCCCTTCACCCCTCTCCTCACCTCCTCCAGTCCTCCCAACGCCTCCCCAGCACATCTCTCCTCTTGCTCCTCCTCCGATTCCCACAGTAAGGTTACTGTCATAAACTGAATTACCTGACTTTGCCCCTGCCAGACCGGACCCTCCATCCTCCCCCTCCCGCTCCTCCAAGAAAAGGCGCCTCTTCCCTTCCCTCTCCTCCTCCTCCCCCTCCACCCCTCTCCTCACCTCCTCGAGTCCTCTTAACGCCTCCCCTGCGCATTTCTCCTCTTCCTCTTCTTCATCCGCTGATTATCATGAGAAAGCCATTTTCGTCATTTGAAGCATCGCACTTCGCCCCTTCCTCTGCCCCTTGAATCGAATCCTCCCACCAACTCCTCAACGCCTCTCTCCTCTTCCTCCTGCTCGGATCGTTGAGATTTACTTTTAAGAACATCGCATGAAGGTTTCTCTGTTGTGAATTGGATCATTTGATATTCGCCCCTCCCTCATCCCCTTGGTCCTCCCACCACCTCCTCAACGCCTCTCTGTCCTCCTCCTCACATCTCTCACGTGGAGGTCTCTGCTGTGTATTGAACCATTTGTGCTTCGCCCCTCCCTCGCCCCATTGAGTCCCCACACTGCCTTCTCAATGCCTCCCTCGTCTTCCTCCTCTGGCACCATCCGTTTTTTTTTAAGAAATTTCAAAATCCTCACAAGATGGCCATTTGTACATGTTAGTTTGGATTTTCTTAATATCAATCATTTACAAAAGCTTGTTCACTATGTGGCATTGACAGTGCCTGCACAGGCCTCTCGTTATCAGGGCAAAATACCCTTTTTGCACTGACTGGCGGCCGCTTTTTTTAGTTACCCTTTCCCAGACAGGGTACCGTATTAGGATTTTTACCCTAGGCCAGAAAGTGTAGGTTTTTTTTTTCCCTTCGTAAAAAAGTGTGATGGATTTTTTTCCCTGAGTGTTCAGGGTACGGTTTCAGTTACACTGATACTGAGTTTCTCGGAACCGAGGATTTCCGAAAATGAGCACATTGTTAAAAGGACAGCGGGACCAACACCCACATAAGACGACATCAATCACAGGTGCAGTTCCGAGAAATTTTCTCTCGACGTGCCGCGTAACCACCACATTGGTGGAAGTGGTAGCCGTGCTAACACCGCAACATGGAATCACGGCCAGAGCAGCATTTGACCGCTGCCAGCCTTGTCCACAAGCGCGCCGACAGCACAGCGGTGCACGGAGCAGGTGTTTCGTGCTGTCCAGGGCACCTCATGGCAGCCAAAAGGAAGCACCGTGAGCCACACATGAGCCGCGCTCCGGGGTCTCCCAAATGTCAGAACATTATAGCTTATGCTTTTGTGTAGGCTGTAGTGGGGTAGTCTATATGGGGTACAACCCAATTAGGATTAGTACTTGTACCCAACTCTTTCATAGTGCATTCATTCACGTTGATTATCACATGGTTTCAGAGCAAATATGCTCCTGGCCTGTGGGCCCTACTACTGCTTCCGCTGCTACTCGATCTATCGCACGCCCCGTGGCGTGCGACCGGCGCGCAGCGATTTTCTCTCTGGCGCGCGCCCCGAGGCGCGCGGCCCCGTTCCTTCTAGGCGCGCCACTCCCCGCTACCCCGTCGCGGCGCCCAGGGGAGCCGCGCGCGACCCCTCGCTGCCCCGTCGCGGCCCCATCTCGTCGCGCCGCCCTAGCGGCCGCGTCGCGCCGCCCTCGCGGCCCCGATCCGCCGCCCTAGCGGCACCGTCACCTACCCGTGCGGCCCCGGCGCCGCCCATCCCGGCCCCGGCTCCGCCCTTCCTGGCCCCGGCGCCACCTCGGCTGGCCCCGTCGCCTACCCCGGCGACCTCGACGCCGCCCTTCCCGACCCGGCCCCGCCTCTGCTGGCCCCGTCGCCTGCCCCTGCGGCCTCGGCTCTGCCCTTCCTGGCCCCGGCGCCACCTCGGCTGGCCCCGTCGCCTACCCCGGCGACCCCGACGCCGCCCTTCCCGACCCGGCCCCGCCTCTGCTGGCCCCGTCGCCTACCCCTTCGGCCCCGGCGCTGCCCTTCCCGGCCCCGGCGCCACCTCTGCTGGCCCCGACGCCGCCCTTACCGGCCCCGGCGCCGCCTCTACTGGCCCCGTCGCCTACCTCTGCGGCCCCGTCGCCGCCCTTCCCGGCCCCGGCGCCCCCTCTGCTAGCCCCGTCACCTACCCTGTGGCTCCGGCGCCACCTCTACTGGCCCCGTCGCCGCTCCACCCGGCCCCGCCGCCGTCCCCAAGCGGCCCCGCCGTCACCACCGAGCCGGCGGCGCCGCCGAGCTGCTACCGAGCCGTCCGAGCCACCCGAGCCGCAGCGCCACCTGAGCCGCTCGAGCCGCCGGGTCGCCGAGCCGCCGAGCTGCAATTGCTGCCAAGCCGTCGTACCGCCGAGCCGCCCGAGCCGCCGAGTCGCTGAGCCGCAGTTGCCGCCGAGCCGCCCGAGTCGCCCGAGCCGCCAAGCCGCAATTGCTGCCGAGCCGCCGTGCCGCCGAGCCGCCCGAGCCGCCCGCACCGCCGTGTCGCCGAGCCTGCTCTTCCCACCACTGGTGAGCCCCTGCCTGCCTTTCGGCCTGCCTGGCTGCCTGCCTTACTGCTGCTACTACTACTGGCGGCGGCCAAATGCAGCTCCAGCAACGCCCACGCGCGTCTCTCACGCCCAAGCAGCTTCGTGAGTGGTACGCTAAGAGTAGAGGGTCTCTCAGTTCTATTCGCTGCTCTTACGTGATTCGCACTGTTGCTCGGACTGGTCAGCCTTGTGAGACACCTAGTCACACATAGTCCCGCTGCTTCGCCCGTCTAAGCGACGCCTGGCGTACCGAGTTTGGCGACGAGGCTGAGCTCCCCGACTGGGTGGAGTTGCTTAGGCAGAGGGTAGATATATTTGCTCTTGACTATGATGCTATTCTCACTGCCATGTATGCATTGCCTACTAGTGCTGACCGTGCCAGTCACCTGTGCGTACCGCCTGACCCGGGTATAGAGCGTGCTGCTCTAGCTGCTGGTGAGGCTGCTGCTCTGGGTGCTAGTGAGTCTCCTGCTCCAGGTACAGGTGCGGCTGCTGCTCTAGGTGCTAGTGAGTCTGCTTCCTCAGGTGCGGGTGAGGCTGCTCTCTCAGGTACCGCGTCGGCTCCGGCCTCTCACACCTTCACTCTTGACTCGGGGGCTTCCCGCTCCTTCTTTCGAGACCGCACCACACTCACGCCGCTTGGTCGGCCAGTTGCAGTCTCTCTGGCAGACCCCTCTGGGGGTCCTGACCTTGCTCACTTCTCCACTGTCCTCCCGTGTCCGGCGGCCCCCTATGGCACCCTATCTGGTCTTTACGTCCCCTCGTTTTCTACGAACTTGGTGAGTGGTGCTGACCTACAGGATGCGGGGGTTCACCAGTTCACTCCTGCGAGTCAGCGGGTGACCCACTGCACGGACGCTCGGACAGGCCGACACCTAGCCACGTTTACACGTCGGCCGGGGTCGAACCTGTACACGCTGACCACTGCATCTCCTCCAGTCACTGCGTCTGGTCAGGTAGCTACGTCGGGTCAGGTGTTTGCTGCAGCGTCCAGGTCCAGTCCTGAGTCTGCCCCCTGCTCGTGTCGTATCCTGTCTCACGAGACTCTCCTCTGGCACCACCGCCTTGGTCACCCCTCCCTGCTTCGTCTCCGAAGCATGGCCTCCCGTGTCCTTGTCTCTGGTCTTCCCGAGTCTCTCTCTCCTGGCCCTACCTGCGTCCCTTGTGTCGAGGGGCGGCAGCGGGCTGCCCCTCACTCCTCTCAGTTTCCTCCGACAGAGGCCCCGCTGCAGACGCTTCACATGGACGTGTGGGGCCCGGCCCGGTCTGTGGACAGGGTCACGAGCGCTACTTCCTACTGGTGGTTGACGACTAGTCGCGTTACACCACAGTCTTCCCCTTGTGCAGCAAGGGTGATATCACTGAGGTGTTGATCGACTGGATCCGCGCAGCTCGTCTCCAGCTCAGGCGGAGCTTCGGCTCGGACTTTCCTGTTCTGCGTCTGCACTCTGATAGAGGCGGAGAGTTCTCCTCTGGCCTTCTGCAAGCCTACTGTCGTGCACGAGGCATCCGCCAGACCTTCACGCTTCCGGACTCTCCACAGCAAAATGGGATTGCTGAGCGCCGCATTGGCATGGTCATGGACGTCGCCCGTACGTCCATGATGCATGCGGCTGCCCCCCATTTTCTGTGGCCGTTTGCAGCCCGGTACGCGGTGCATCAGATCAACCTTCAGCCCAGGGTCTCCATGCCGGAGACCTCCCCAGCTTTGCTGTGGACGGGGAAGGATGGCTATGCGTCTGCGTTCCGTGTCTGGGGATCTCGGGCGTTTGTCCGCGACTTGTCTACGGACAAGCTGTCCCCTCGTGCTGCTCCCTGCATCTTCGTGGGTTTCCCCCCTAACGCGCCAGGGTGGCACATCTACCACCCCACCTCTCGCCGTATTCTGTCCTCCCAGGACGTCACGTTCGACGAGTCAGTCCCCTACTACCGTCTCTTCCCCTACCGCACTCCATCCCTCCCCCCGCCACCGCTCTTCCTTGTGCCAGGTCCCCCCTCGGTAGACCCCCTCCCCCCTCAGGGTCCTGCCCCTTCAGGTGTGTCCCAGGTAGATGCTGTTGAGCCTGTCGAGGTCGCTGGTGACTCTGGTGCTACTGAGGGAGCTGAGCCTGGGGGTGCTGACTCTGGGGGTGCTGAGTGTGTGGGTGCTACGCTTGGGGGTGCTGAGCGTGGGGGTGCTGAGCCTGGGGGTGCTGAGCCTGGGAGTGCTGAGCCTAAGGGTGCTGAGCCTAGGGGTGCTGAGCCTAGGGGTGCTCAGCTTGGGGGTGCTAGGCCTGGGGGTGCTACGCCTGGGGGTGCTACGCCTGGAGGTGCTGAGCCTGGAGGTGCTGAGCGTGAGGGAGCTGGGCCTGCTCGTGTGGCGTCTCGCGGTGCTGTGCCTAGCGGTTCTCCGGGTGCTTCGTCTCGCCAGGAGCCACTCTCTCCACAGGAGCTGCGTGAGTGGTTTGCTCGGCGCTGGAGGCGAGCTGCTGAGGTACTGGAGGTTCTTCTGCTGCTGAGGGTGCTGGTGCCGCGGGTCCCGGAGGTGCTCGTACTGGGAGTACTGGAGCTGCTGGGCCTGCGGGTACTTCTGGAGTTGGAGCTGCTGCGGGTGCTGGCGCGGAGGCTACTGCTGTCGGTCCTGGAGGCGGTCCTGCTGGGGGTGCTACTG